CAATTAAACCTCCTGACTCAGCTGTTTGATGACTAAAAAAAAAAAAACCCCAAGAGATCATTGCTGACTATGACAACAGACGCCCACACTGCAGCCTTCTGTCTAAAGATTTTTTGCCCACCAACCAGAGATAAACACATGGACTGAAGAACCAACCCAAAATCTCCCCGCAACTGCCCAAGCCCCAGACCATCTCTCTGCTCCTGAAGGAACACACCTGGGCGTTGGCTCAGGTCCTGCACCTGAATCATGACTGATCATGCAGTAAATGCCTTTTGATTATGTTTGTCTGATGACTTCTCGTCAAAGAGATTATAAGCTATGCATGAGAAAGTGCAAATCCAGCAGGAGCATTTAATTAAAATAACGATAAATACTAGCAGTACCCAGTTGTCTGAAGTACCTTGTTCTAGGTGAAGAAGGGGCGGGGCCCTTCTAGTGAAAACAAAACACAGGAGAACCCAGCTGACTCTTGCTCTTCTCCAGGGGGACTGTAACTGCCGTCCATCCTTTCCAACTTTCCATCAAACATGTTCTGAGACAATAAAAGGAATGAAAGAAGCTCCTCTTTCTGGCATCCTTCCAGGTTAGAACAGAGCGGTGTTATTCCTGGCCAGGCTCCACCTCGCTGAGGGGACTGCCATCTGTGTTTGCGAGATGGTTCTTTGGGCAAATCATTAGAAAACCACGTGCCCCCGAGGGGAGCTTCGAGACTGTGGGGCCTGAGGAGGAAGGTGGCATTTGGTCTTGAGAGAGGGTCCTTGCATGTCACCCTCTTGCCAGAGGGGCTCGTCCAGGGCTGGGTTCCCCTCACAGCTTATGTGATCTGCTCTGAGTAGGTAGCCCAGGTGCCTGGCACCCTGGAAGCCCTCAAAACTGACCACCCGTCACAACACCACCACCTTCTTTTCTCTGGACTCACGGGCTGAGGCCTGATTCCCAAGCTCTGTGAATGGAAGCTCTGCCATGCCTCATTGCCCTTTGGGCTAGTCTGGGAAGACCCGCCAGGAAAACATACTGAGGGCCGAGCACAGACAGCTTCTGCTTGGGCGGGAGCTTTTCCCAAGCCCACTTCTCTTTCCATCTGATGGGAGGGCTGTGTTAGTAACAGCAGCAGCAGCAGCAGTGGGGAGACAGCACAAACACAGAAAGCCCTCCCCGGGGTTGCTATTGTGCACGGTACAATAAGGCTCTGGAGACATTTTTTTTTTTTTAATCCAGTTGAGACTGGAAAGTAAATAAATGTGGTCACGTTTGAGTTCCCCCACAGCCTAAAGGGCCCTGGGCGAAGCAGGGGCACCTTGGTCAGCATCTGGCCTTGTGGAGGAGGAGGGAAGATATGGGAGCAGGTTGGAAAGATTGGGGTTGGGATTTCCAGAAGCTTTGTGCACCCATCTTCCAAACACCCTGGGCTTTCTGAAAGTTGCCAGCATCAAGTCCCCACCCTCCACAGTTGCCCGATCAACAATGGGCCTTGTCCAGCCGGGCCAGGCTGGTGACACACCCAGGCTAGGCTGTTTGCCTCTGTGGGAGGAGGCATCCCCTTCCAGCCATGGACAGGGGGGAGGCTGAGCGGGACCCGTGGCTTTCTCAAGCCAAGAAAATGCCAAACACCATAAACAGTTGAGTCTTTACTGCCTTGGATGGTTTTGATGTGAGTCATACAGTTGGAATCTTTCAAGCCACCCTGAGCCTCAGCTCTTCTGCAGGTGGTGTTTTCTAAGCATCCTCAAGTCAGCCAGGACAAATCTGGAGACGCAAGGCCTGAGGGCTCTAAAACTGCAGGAAGAACTGGCACCCTGGGGAGCTTCCATTCTGAACAGCCTTACCCTTGTGCTGTGAGGGTGCCAGTCCTCGCTGCATGACACCTGCCCACACAGTGAGTGTGGAACTCAGGAAACTGGGGCGTGAATCCTGGTTCCTCCACTAGGTAGGCAATCATGTAGAAGATCCTTAATTTCTCTGGCTTTGTTTCCTCACTTCGAAGATAGAAGCAATGTAAGTTCTGTGAAGTTGAAGTAAACCAGGGCTAGGTCAATCCTAGTCCCTATTGTGAAAAGTGAATGCTTGAGTGCTCATTACATATCATGCCAGGTCATGTTCTACATGCTTCTTACCAGCACCCTGGGAGGTAGGTATTCTCCTTTCTCCTATTTTATAGAAATGGAAATTGTGGCTTAAGGAATGTATGCAAATTGTCACTAGTTTCAGTTAATTATTGATGTTGCTGGAACTCAAACCCAGAGTTGGAGGGGACAGTCTGTGCTCTACAGCTATGTAATAGTTTGTTATTATGACTATTAATTAGCACATCTGCATGAGATCTCCATCTTAAACCATTATTGGACAAAGAGAGAGCTGTTACTGAAGCACAGAAAGCAGCCGTGGGCTTGTTGAAAGGCAGTGTTGATAGAAGGACTAAAGTCAAGTCCAGTATAAACCCGCCATTCTTAAACGTTTAAAATAGTACTAGACCTTGTCCAAACATTAGAAACCCCCACTGCCCAAAACTATCTGCTGATGTTTCCTGTCTGAGAGCTCTCTCTTACTGCAACTGGGGTTCCACTGGCCTCACCCGGCCAGAAGCAGGTATTCATTTTTAATGAATGACGACAAAACCAAGGATTAGGTTGTTGACAGGGTTCTTTCAGTTGCTAATTACTCTTAAGAGAGAGCCTGAGGTTTCTTGAGCAATTACTTTATGCCAGGCCCCTGGCTGTGCTCAGCGTGTGTTGACATAATTCAGCAGCCACTTTGGTGTGTCCGTTTTGCAGGTGAACAAATTTAGGCCACACAGGCTAACTAATCGGTCTGAAGGCATAGAGCGAGTATCCCCAAGCATTGTCCCTAACTGTGTCTTGGTGATGGGGCTCATGGTTGGCTGAAGGGAATGGCCCTGGAGGACACAGGGAGTCGTCTCTGCTCAGTGGGCTCCAGGAGATTGAGGGTGTGGGAGACACACTCACCTTCAGGAGGTTACAGGCAGTGGGATGTGGAGGCAAACATCCAGGGTTTGAGGTGGGACCGCCCTGGGCAAGCCCAGCTGTCTGCTCTCCAGCTAAGTGCTCAGGCATGTTTCACTAGGTCCCGCGCTGTGGTTTCCTCCTCTGGACAGTGGTGTGGGCACAGCGATCTGACTTATAGGGCTGACATGAGGGATACAACGAAGACTAAGCACCCCCTAGGGATCCACTGCTGCTCCACTGAACAGAAGCACATGCCTGGCTTGCAGAGCTAGACTACACTTGCAAACAAGTTTTGTCGTTTTGAACAAGTCCACAGTTTGAACAAATGTGATGTTCAACCACAGGCATGCAAGGAATTTACTGGGGCAGGTTGGGCTGGGCCCATCAAATGGGCTGAGAGTATGAACTTGGGCTTGTCTTTCATTTAGGGCAAATGGAGCCCAGGGGACATTCACATGGGTGAGTCCAATTGCTGAGGGAGGACATGGCCAGTAGTCGGCACTGCCATTCCCTCTTTCCCCGGGGGCTGGATCTTCCAGCTCTCCACCTCCTGGCCTCTGGACAAAAGGAAAAGCAAAGCTGTAGAGGTGGCAGGGGTGATGGTGTGCTCAGGGGAGTTCCAGGGGCTCGGAAGAGCAAGAGGGTGATATTGAGAGGCTCGCTAGAAGGCAGGAGGCATTTTACAGGAGAAAGCTGAGCACTGGGCAAGTCAAGGGCTGGCCACAGGGCCTTGAATTCCCATGCTTGTGGGCTCTGCTGTGTGTGTGGTTACCGAGTGAGCCGGGAGTCCACGTCTCAATGAAATGGTGATCAGCTATGCAAACGCCACCAAGGGCTCAGGGTAGACCTGGAGGCCCACCTGACTATGACCATGATGGGGATGCCGGCGTGGGTGGGGGCAGAAGTGAGCACAATGTAGGCCTCAGGGGGGCCTCCTGACTGTGTCCTACAGGAGTAGACGTGACAGGCCGACTGCCTGGAGGAAAAACCTGCTCTGAGCTTCCAGTGAGTGGTCACATAAACGTAGTGCAGGGAGCCCCTGGACAGGTATTATGGGGTGCGTGTGTCTCCCATCCCTCACCTTGATGTTGAAATCCATACTCTTAAGCGACTGGGACTAGGAAGTGGGATCTTTTGGGGGTGGAGGGGTGTGATTACTTCATGAGGGTGGCACCTCATGAAAGGATGAGTGCCCTTGTAAGAAGAGCCTGAGACCTTATTTCCTGTGTCTCTGCTGCCCACCATGAGGAATGGGAAGATGGCTCCATACAAGCCCTCACCGGTCACCGGATGTGCCAACAAGTTCAGCTTGGTCTTCCCGGCCTCCAGATTGTGAGGAATAAACGTGTCTTCTGTTCAAGCTGCGCAGGCCACAGCGCTCTGCTACAGCAGCTGAACCCACCAGGACAGGCATCGAGGACACTCTGACCACCACCCTTGTAAGAACATCCTTGTTCTTACAAGGGTGGTGGTCAGAGCGGGCTACGGCCGTCTTTGAACTTCCCGACAAGCCCAACAGCGGGCCAGTAACATAACAATAAACAGTTAGCTTTTCCGCTTGCTAAAAGAGGGAGGTCGGAGATTGGAAGCTACTTTCCTGGTGCCTTCGCTGAACAGCCACACTGGCAGCTGCTCTGGGCCTCTTGTCGTCCCACCACCCCGTCCCCAGTCTTGTCCCAATGACACGCTGGCCCTGCAGTGTCACGAGTCTGTTAGGCCAGCCCAGGACAACAGCTCTGTGAATTTTTCTCCAGCCGACTTTGTCATTATGGTCTGGACTACTTGAGCAGTAGTCCCAGACTCCCCTGCGTGACACGCTGTCTTTCCCCTTCTAAGTGACCTTCCTGCCTGCTCAAAAATCTACTTCCAACGCACAGCTTCCATTCTAGTTTTGACTGGGCTGTGGGAAACCTGGCTGCTCTTTTTCCTAGCGGGGTAGACACCTAAAGGGAACGGGGACCCAAAAAGCGTTCCTAGCGGGGTGGATGCCGAAAGGGAGCAGGGGACCCAGAAAGCAATACGGTGTGGATGCGCTGACGAATAAAGCACGCACTTTATTCACGTTGAGAGTACAGGGGGACACGGGCACAGCGCAGAGGCACAGGGGTGCTGCCGGCAGCGGGGTGTGCGCGGGGGCCGAGGGTCAACACAGCCAGCGGGCCAGCCGGCCACCCGACTCTGCATGCCGGCGCGGCACTCGGGGTGCAGACGGACACCTGCTCGCTTTCACGGGGGGCACGACACATCTTCGAAATAGCGGCTCTCCCACATCTGCTTTCACAGTTCTGAGGGGGGAGGCCAGGAAGGACGGTAAACCCAACTTGAAATGAAAGAACCACGAGAGCTTGGCTGCAGGATCGTTGGCAATGCACGGAAATCACACGTTTATTACTGGACTGGTCTACACATAAAATCCCCCAAAAACACCAATTTTGCAGACGGTTGTTTTCTCTTCTGTAGGTTCAAGAAACATCTGCGTGGACAATATGAAGTGGCTCGTTTTGTTCTGGATCTTGGGGTACAGCGTTGGTACACACCATCTCCTTCTAGCTTTGGTGGGCGGGTTCAGGAAGTGACTTGTGGGTATCTTCAGTCCAGAAAGACACTCGGGGAAGAATTTTATTTAGTGATAACTGTCGCCACTCAATCACACCAAGCTTCAGAAAATGTTGCATTTTTCCATTTTGCTGTGTACACATCGACTGTTTAGTTTCTTTCAGCTTAAACTGACCCCCACCCCCCACCCCAGTTGCCATACATTACACTTGCCTAGACAAGAACATAAACATCCATTTGCAAAGCATCAGTCACCAACCCCCTCTGCTTCCTGGGCCACAATGGGAAGACAGGAAAGACAGTACTTTTTTTTTTTTTTAAATCAAAGTTTCTCTTTCTTTCATTACAACATATTTGGGACATTCCCTTAATACACATCATCACTAAAATGGGGTGTCACTGCAACTCTCAAGCAAGAAATCATCTCTTTTTCTGGAGTGAATATTCTTCAAAAGGGAGTACTAACGAGTGAGTTTTAGGGTGTACTGACAAACACTGGGTTTGTCAAAAGAAAATAATCTTAATGGTCAACTACAATCAGCCTGGCCTAGGAAGCAGATTCCACAGTGGCCAGGGATAAATGAGAGCTGGCTTCTGAGGACACGGAAGAGCAGATGGCAGGGACTGTTTCCCTCCACTGTCCTTCCTGATGGGGAAATGGGCTCTGGGGACCCACAGCCGTGGGGCGGCCTGCCCCTCAAACACAGATCACTCACACTGAGTTAGCTTTAAAGTTTCTAGAAAGACGGTGCTAGTCAAAAATGGTTGAGTGTTACAACTTGCAAAAGCGAATATATTCTTCTATAATCATTTGAGAAGCAACTTTTTAGAAAAAGGTATTTGCCTCAAAGTGTAAAGAAATTAGGGGAAAGTTTTATAAACATTTTCTAGCGAGACTTCTCCGGTAGGTTAACAAAACGGAGAAGACCAGAGCTGGTGAAAAGGGTTGCCCTGGGGAGAGGAGGTGGTAACAGAACGGAGACAATGGGGAGCAGCAGACACTAGAGAGGACACATAAAAATGACCTTTCTGCACTTCTCTGTTCACGGCTTCCAAGACCAGCAGTTAAATTTAGTGAGTGAGGGGGTCACGCGAGATCGTATCGCTCACACAGACCAAGCTGTGAATGCCCAGCTGGCTGTCCACCTTCCCAAACGCCTGCTGTGTCATCCTAAATCACATGGGAAGACCACGGGGTATCTTGGTTTTTTCTGGAAGAAAAGTGTTTGAAGGAAGCACTGCCTTTCCTATTCTTGCGGGGACCTCTTTCACCTAACGCAATCAGTGACTCTCGAGTGACCCGACACTCAGAGTGCAGCCCTTGACAGGGGCACCAGGAGTAACTAGGATTGTTACATGGAGTGCTGGGTGGGGTCCATGCAGACAACATCCATCCTCTGGTCCGTGGCCTGGGCATTTTAGGGGTGAGCATGCTGTGTCTGTTTAACCAAACAGACAGGGCACTGCAGCCCAAACACTGGCCCTGGCGGTGGGCCCACCTTCTGCTGGGGTGTGGAGTGGGGGCACCTGCTCAGTGTGACGGGTTCCGAGTCCCGTCACTAGAAGTAGCTCAGCACTGCTCTGCTTGCAGACAGAAGGCTGTGGCAATTCTGGCTATGTATTTCTACAGTGCCATTCAAATCAAGTCCCTACACTTGATAGGTAAAGAAGCCACTTCCCCAAGTTGGATGCTAAACTGAAGGCAGAAGCTACAAGAAAAAGTAGAGCTTCACTGGGGGGGACTTGGGGTTCTGTTCTTTAGCAATTATTGCAATTTTTCTCACACTGACAATTGATCTACAGGACCTGGGTCAACATTCACTAACCAACGAAAACCACTGGTTATAAGGAAACGCGACTCTCAGCCGGCAGACACTGCAGTCCACTTGGCCAGCCTGGTTCTCAAGACAGGGATGCACACTGCACCCCCTCCCTCCCCTCACACCTCATCAGGGCAGGGCAAGGACACAGTGCCACCCGGGGCTGCTGCCGCAGGGGAGGCCACAGGGAAGGGGAGAGGGTGGGACCTGGGGGAAACGGGCTGCAACGAGTGAACACAGGTCACCACCACCACCCACCCACACTCACACTCAGTTCTCAGCACTGAAAGGACAGGGGATTTGGACTGCCCAGGCAAGAGCGCAGGACAAGGCTGTGGAGCAATCTCCAGCACTGCTGCCTAGGGCTTGAGTCAGGCGGCTGCTGAAACGACCCACCCGCTTTTCCCCTGGTGTCCGATCCCACCAAGCTTGATGCTCAGTGCCGGCAGGAACAGCTTTCCTATCAATGCCATAGGCAGGTGAATTCAGATGCTCTCTCCCTTGGCTTTCAAACCAGGTTCCCATTCCTAACTGGAGTCCTAAAGCTGAGAACCTCCCACGCGTGGGGTCCCTCAGCTGACCACGACCTGTCTGAGAAGCTGGCAGGAACTGCCATGAGGTCTTAAACCCATGTGGGGGTGAAGCCCGGGGCCCTGGTGTGACCTGTGGGGCTGTTTGAGGACCTGGTGAGATGACCTGCATTCACTCCCAGCCTGACGCTAGGTGAGGTGTGGAGGGTGCTGGCTTCTTCCTAACTCCCGTCCAAAGGAGCATGAGGTGTGGAGGTACAGTCTGGCTTCACCCTTGACCTGAGACAAACACTTGTGGAAATGTCCTTGGAAGCGGCAACACATTCAAACAGAACTGAAATTAAAGAACAAAGATGGACTTTACAAAAATACTTTGGGTGATTATGTACTCACATACCTACATACACGCACGCACGCATGCACGCCAAGAAGTCGACAGTGCCAGGCAAGAAGGGAAGCTTAAAAGGACAAATTCATTTTGAGGCAATCCACCTGGGAGATGCAGAGACTTAAAAGAGAAAAGCATGCTCTTCCTTAGCCTATCACTGAAAAGACCTGGAAAGTAAACTCAAATCAGCATGAGCTCATAAGATGAGGTTCAGGGGACTCCAGACAGAGCAGAGGATGCAAGTGGAAGAACTTGTACTGGAAGGACACGGAACTTTATTCCTCCTCAGAGTGCTCTGGCACTGGGCAAAGGTCGTCGAACAGCAGAGGCCAGGCCAGCCTGAGCCATGGTTCCCTCCTTCCTTTCTTTGCAAAGTGAGCCTAAGATGGCCCCCTATCTTTGGTGGGAGAAGAACCAAGCGCACTATATGAAGCAGAAAAAGAACTGGGGGGCGGGAGGGAGGGTTGGATCACGGGGGTGGGAGGAAGGTTTCTGTTCATTCTTTTCCCTTCTCTTTGTTTCCAAAAAATTTTTTTTTTTACCATTAGCTAAGTAATTTGCCATCCAGGTCCTATCAGACAAATGGAGAACTAGGGGCTTAGACAAAATGACTCTGGCTGCTCTTCAGACCACTCGAGCAAAGTTGCTGGGGTCCCCGACTTGCTTTCATCCTGTGGGAGCTTGGGCCGAGCGGCGTAAGGCCGGGAGAGGAAGACTGCGCCAGACTGCCGCCCCGTGGAGGCGGCCCTGGGCGTGCGCCTCTCAGCCACAGAGCTGCACGAGTCTAGGTGCTCAGACTTGGGGATCGCGACCACTGTGTTTCTCCATGCGGCATCCTAAGGGCACTTGCTGGCTCTGATCCATACAGTTCGCGCTATGCTTGGACGACAGTTAAAGGAAAACCAGAGAAGGTGCTCCTGCTGTGTACATAAGGTGATGTAAAAAGGTCACGTGTGAACACTACTGTCCAGTGTGGGGATGTAGAAATTTCTACCCCATTGCTTCTTGGCGAGTGCTGCCCATCGGATGGCCTGATATTTGGCTCATGGGTGTGTTAATGAGATTTTCCCTTTTTTTTTTTTGTTTTCCTTGCTGCAGACAGTAGTCTGCAAATTCTCCAATCAACTTTGGGATTTAATACAACATCCTGTGTGTCACTGCCATGGTCGGTCCTTTCTCTAATTGCTGACTATGCGCAGGATTTAGAAGAGTTTTGCTCTTTTCTTCATGTCATTGCGTCTCCAAAGAGGTAACTTGTCAAATTCCTGTATAGACATTCCAAAGATTTCCTGAAAAACTTCTGGGGCTAAGTGGCGCTGTGATGGGAAAAAAGAAGACTGGTCAGTCTGCTGGCCACACAGATGGGTTGAGTTAAGAGCAAGCCTGAGTCATGGAAGAGTTTACCTCTGAGGTTTGTTTACTTAAAGGCACTGGCCAGAAGGTTCCTTTCCTGGGCAGGCCGAGGGAGGCACCCTCCCTCCCCCGTCGACCAAAGAGCTGGTGCAGTAGCAATTACTAGAATAACATGTAATGGCAAGGGTCAGAGGTAGTGAATTATTATGCTGGAGGTGACTCCACTTCAGATCCTTGGGATGTTGAGAAGTTGCAGGGGAAATGGACAGAGGCCACAAGAAAGCCAGAGACCTCCAGCGTGGTCCTTGGGGAGCCCTGGCCCTCGGTCCTGGCTCAGCCACAGGAGTTCCAGAGGATGACTACTTGCTGGAGAGAACCCGTCCTTCCTCCTAGAAAAGTTCCCTAAGGATATCAGATCCTTTGTTCTCTGCTGTCTTTTGTCAGGGAGAGGAATGACACTATAGAAAACTGGCAGCCAGAGTTTTTCTTAATTAAAGTCATTCAGATGGAAAAGTACAAAGATCAGTGTTCCGTGTCTGGGGAGTTCTTGGGTATGTGGGCCAGACAACCCTTCTGCAAGGCATGCGGAAACAGCCAAGAGGGAGACATGCCTGCCTGGTGCAGGGTCTCCCCACCCCCCTTTTCTACAGCTCAACCCAGGCTCATGGGGAAGATGAGACTCTAGGAGGTCTCTGGAAAGGGTGTGAAATTCCATGCTACAGCACTAGCCACAACGATGGCAACATCAAATCTGCCAGGAGAGTTCCTGCAGTCATCCTGAGTCCCCTGAATGATGCATTTCTCTGCACATCCTTAAGCTCAATCGTAAGTGTGAACTTGGGCCTTTCTCTCTTACATCTATCTACTACATGAGATGGATCCTTTTTCATGTTTTGCTTTTACTGAGATATTTTTTAGGGGCAGGGTTGGGAAACACAAGGGGGTTGCTGTTGGGACTAGATTTTTTTTTTTTTACCTCCAGTCTGGTTCTGTCCACATCTCTTAGGATCTTGTTGCGCCCTCTGTTGGTCACCATGAGCATTTCATATGGAAATACCTAAGAAGGAAACAACACCTCTTCGGGAAGAGTGCCTGGATTTCACCAAGTGCAATTTCCCTAAAATCTCCTCAGTTAGAGTAGCCGAGATGGTATAATCAGAGCATCTGAGATGGGTGTTTCCAGTGTTGCAGGTGGCATGCATACCAGGGGCCGAGTTTAGATGAGGTCAGAGGACAGACAGGCTGGTGCTACACTGGACAGCGAGGGCTTCAGCCTGCTGACCTGCCCAACGAGACCAGCAGCCAGAGGCGTTTATGGTATGGCTGGTGTAACGTGCCAATCTAGCCCAGTGGGTCGCAGAGATCTGAACACGGGGAAAGACAAGAGGTGCACTTGCCTTCGGTTCCAGCATGTTGGGCATGGACACACCCCTGTCCATTCTCGTTCCCGGGAGGTGGCCATCTGGGAGGGTCTGCAACAGAAAAGCTGGCTCAGGAAGGGGACCCCACAGTAAGGAGGGGCTGTGAGTTCCACACTTCCCTTCCAGGGGCTCATGTCACAGATGATCTCGCCACCATTTAACAAGTGACTCATCTGAATTACCAAGGAGTTCTCGACCCGACATCCTTGCTAATAAGAGCCAAGAAGACTGGTCCTTTATAATCAAACTGGGGGGAGAGCCTGGCTTAGTAGCTATGGGCCCTCTTTGGACCCAGTGTCCATGTATGAAACTACAGGGTACATACAAACAAAACCCAAATTGACCCTGCCAAGTCTTTGACTGCTATTTTCTTATTTCAATGCTAGTTGTCTTCACATTTTCTTCCTTTCTCCTCTATTGCAGTTGCATCAGGTCCAGGATAAAAGGGAATGGTGCCACAGTGAGCCCGAGACAGGAGTTTCTTTCCAGCTGGGGCCAGTGAAGGCGGGGAGTCCCTAACGCGCTGAGTGGTTATAGCGAGAAGATAAACCTCACGAGGAGACCCCAGAGGCTGCCTGACTTCCATCCAGAGGGGTCCCTCCAGGGTCAGAGAAGAGTCCTCGGCCACCTGGCCTGGCCACATTCCCCACCCCTGGGGTAGTGTGACCTGGCACGGGGGTGTCTCTTTTTCCTGGCTCCTCAGGTGTGTGTACTGATGACTAGGTCAGCCAGATTAAGTTTCTTCTCCACAAAAACCCTTCCCTGAAGCTGCAGAGTCTGCAGTGAAAAATGATGGCTCTGCTGGTAAGGCCAACTGGAGCAAACAGTAATCCATACCTGGTAGTCTGGAAAGAAAAGAGAAGATGCATCAGGGAAAGACCTCAAAAAAACTATAGCGATGTCCTGGAGACGGCATCTACTGCAATTGCCCACAAGCTCCCCACCAGACCGCAGTCTTCCTGTCTCTGCACACAATGTCCCTCTCCGTGTCAGGGAGTGCTGCTCAGTGTTAGTTTTCAGTTAAAACGGGCTTTGAAGAAGTTTCTCCTGACACCCTGAAGGTTCCTTGCTTCTCTCTAGATCTCCATCAGTGCATTTCTCACACGGAGCTTCTCTCTCTCTCTCTCTCTCTCATACACACTCACACACACAATCACACACGTTGAGGGGCCACGCCAGCTTCTCTGTCCCTCTGGTATATGAGGGACAGATACACAATAGGAGTCAGACTTTTTGTTACGAACTCACGTCTCATGGTTTATTTCACTAGAGACACTGCGAGATGTTAATCAACGCCCTATCAGCCCACAGCTGTGACCCTCGGCCGCGTGACCCTCGGCCGCGGCAGCGACTTGTGGCCGCGGGAGCCTCACCTCGTACGCCCCCGCTGACGTCCCCGTAGCTGTTGTACTGAGCGAAGTCTGTAGAAACAGGCTGAAAGGAGGAGACACACATTATTAAAAATCTGCTCCATGGTGATTATTTTAGAGACCCATGAGAAGGAAGAAGTGTTACAAAATTTGAAGAAATCTTCCCAAGTTGGGTCCTCCCAGGTGGCACACTGGATTAAAACACAGACTATGAAGCTGGCCGCAGCTGCTTCAGCAAGACTTCGATCACCAGCGGGGGAGGTGACCCACATGGCGTGGCAGACCTCTCCTGACTGGTCCGCTGCTCCCCTCAGCAGTGTACTTCGTCAGTCGGCCTCTTTTGCTCCCCACTCTGTCTCTGGTGAATCCTCTTACCACCCCTGCACCTCTGGCCTGTACCCCAGTTCTGTATACATAAATAAGTAAATGTTTTTTTAAAAAAAGAGAAATCTTCCCAGTTTGAATTCCTGGGGCCCTCATTATATTTTGCTTCTCTTTCTTCTATGAGGACTCTGTCATTTTTAGCACAGCCAATGCCACTGCCCAGCAGGCCCAAGGTAAACAAGCATCTCTTGCTAATAAAATCACATTTTTGCACATAGTTACATTAATTCCATTTGTTTTAGGCTTCGTGAGTAGTTGCAAGTAGCTTCCTTGTGTCATTTTATAATAGAAATAATGGCTTGAGTAATTGCTCCTTTCTTGACTGTAGAATTAGATTAAGAAACAACCACTTAATCTAGTCTCCCCAGAATCTTATACAGGCTTCTGTATCTAAAGTTAGATCTAAAGTCAATTTCTCCTCTCTCAATAGAATGATTTTATTTTGCCTATAACTCAAAGTGATTTACCAGATCAGAGAGGTTATAATTTTCATTACATTTAGGACTGAGATCCTTCTGTTAGACTTATTCAGATAATATGTCAGCTTTCCCACCAGGACAGAAGAGGCGAAGGACACAGAAATAATTAAAAGGCGAAATCTCACCCGGTGAAGTCCGTTTCTTCCATAGCCTGGGAGAGAAGCGGTTTTAGATGATAGAACATGTGAAGCTGAATGAAAAAAGAAAGTTAAAAAAGCAGCTGTTAGGAAATCAGAAGTCTGTTTTTTCAATGGAATTGACAGTGATTAATCTACCTTGCAGAAAAGATAATTTAAAAAGGATAATTCAACTAAGGCTGGACTCCAGTGTCTAGACAATGCTACCATGCTAGGGTCATGCAGGGAAGTTGTCTTTAACTATCTGATTTCTGCAGGTTTTATTTGCAGTAGCCAAAACTGGAAATAACCATAAATGAATGAGTAATAGTCAAGCCCAGGGATATACTTCTCCCATGATGCTTAAAGGTAGAGCTCATATAAACATCTTGGATGAATTTTAAAATAAATATGACATGATGTCACTCAAGGAAAAGAAAAACTTCATGATGTTAACTATGTAAAATTCTAGAAGACACAGATCTGTTCTATGAAGAAGCGAACCAGAGGGTGATGCAGGACTGGAGAGGGACTAAGTTGTCCAACCTCCGTAATCTCCTTCAGAAGTATCAAAAACACCTCTTGAACTGAATATATAAATGGAAAATTACAATGCTTAGAAAATGTTCATGTTCTCTATAGTCAGAGTATCCTGTTCTCCATCAGGATTTCCTTTCTGCTGCTTCTCTCTGAGATGACTATTCTAGATGGTAGACCATGCACATGGGAACTAACCCTTCATGGTTCTTGACATCTTCCAATGGGAAATTGGAAAATTTCCAATTTCTAGTGGGAAAGTAATAATTTTAAGGAAGAACCATAGCATGGTTGACAGGCAGTGGTTCCCACACTTCGTGCCCGCAGCACACTGCAGATTCACAGACACGGTCTTTCCTGGGCAGTCTGCCCTCAGCGGGGGGCAGCAAGGAGGTTCCCCTCACCTGAGTTGATGGGAGAATCGTAGCGACCAGCTGACAGGGATGACCTCTCCCGGCTCTCCTTCTCCTTCTCCATTTCTTCTTTTAATATCAGCTGTCCCAGGCCTGAATTGAGCTGTTCACAGAAAAAAAAAAAAAAAGAAAAAGAAAAAAAAAGAAAGCGAAGATGGCCGTTACCCTCAGGAACTCCAGTTTCTTCTTAGACCAAGCAGCGCCTGGCCCTGCGGGAGCCTGGGTACAGTGGCCCCAGAGCCTGGTGGTTCCTCAGGAAACAGACCAGGCTTTAAACCCTGAGAGGCTCCCAAAGACCCTCTCTTCACTGTGTCCATTGCCAAAATCCACCTCCCCAGGGAGCTTCACATCACATCAGAAGGGTATCTTACCCCCACGCTCCCCCAAAGTGGGTGAGGAGGGAGGTTAGTGTGTAGAGACTGATGGTGTGGTCAGAGGAGACTGAGGCTGGTAGGCTTTAAAAGGAAATCATGCTGATTTGTTTAAAACAAGGGAAAAAGCAATACATGCTCATTATACAGATTTTATAAAAAACCAGAAGGAAGGAAAGAAGGAAAGAAGTTTAACTTACAACCCACTACTCAGAGATAACCACCACTTACATTTTGATGTAATACTGCACAACCCAGATCAGACCATGAATGCAGCTTTGTCTGCTTGCCCCACATTACATAACCTGTCAGGTGCATTTCCCGTCTGATTTAAGCTCTTTGGAAAACATCACTTGAAGGGCTTCAATAGCCCCTAACTGGTAGGAGGGTTGATACCTTCCCTGCTTCCCCTAGCCCAGGCTAGAACTGGCTCTCTCTCTGGCCCTCTGGGATGCTGCAGGCTGGGCTAGGGTGGGGAGGGTATAATGAAGGTTTCTTGGTGGCCACCATTGTATTCCCTCCCTTGTCCCCAGTGGGACACACAAGGTCCCACAGGTCCTAAGGGAAGACTTAGAGAAATGCTCAACCTCAAGAGCATTTTGTCAGAGAGTGTGCATGAGGGAAGGCAGGGGTGGCTCACCTTGGTGTACCCGGCTAACCCTGGTCCTGCATCTTACCGATGCAGGCGGCACCCCGCCTCTCACCACCCCCCCAGTCACCTCATAAAAGCCCAAACATTCTCAGCCCCTGTGGCCGTCAGCCTCCAGGTCATCTCTTCCGGAACCTTCTCAGTACTCTGGCCCTATTTCTGTCACCAGCTGCTGCCTTGTGTCACCAGGCAGACGGCAAGCCGTTGGGAGCTAGGGCCAGCTCGTTCCTCTTGCTGCCTCACCCCAAGTAGTGACTGGAAAAGCAGGGATTGAAAGGGACTGAATGGAAAACTGCCACAAAGTAGTTTAAGGACAAACCTTCATTAATTGCTCTTCTTGAAGCTGCCGGCGTCTCAGAAGCTCCTCATCATCTTCCTCTCTGCCACTAGATCTGCGTCTCATGTCAGCTCCTAATTCCACAGCAAAGACAACTTCTCACATCAGCCCCACGGCAAGGGGACCTTAAGGGATTAGTCGGCCTGTGCTCAACTTGCCAGCCTGCCTAGCACCGGTTCCATACTCCCGGTCAGTTTCTCACAACAGCGGGTCTGTGTGACAAGCCAGTTCAATGTGGGGTCCGGTGAGGCACGAATGTGGGCCTCCCAGTGATGGCTCTGCTCAGTGAGAACTCGGTTTGCCACTGCGACTGGTCTGAGTCATCTCTTTGGCCACTGGTCAGAACTCTTCATGGTAGGTGGGAAGGGAACCAAGAGTTATTATTTTGATGTTCCTGAGGTCAGTTTTCAAGTAGAGAGAAATCCAAATTCATCTACCTACCATCAAATAAGACATTCACTTGTGACAAGTTTTAAAATCTTGTACTTTTTTCCTAATCTATTTAGAATTGTCTCCTCTCACCCTGTCTCCTACCGTAATAAATTCCCCTCCAAAGGAATAGGTTTTCTTTTCCTCATTCTTTAAAAATGATTCTGAGAGTGCTTTATAATAACAGGCCAACAAAACAGGGTTAATGTAGCTAAAAAGTTTACTTGAGTGCATTGAGGCTCACCATGTACCATTTTAAAGATTTTTAGAAAAGAGGGAACAGGGAGTAAAAAGGAGGAATCTGGATGGTTGAAAATGAAGGTAATTATTGTTTTTCCTAAATGGCTTGGATTAGTCTAACTGTGGGAGGAAACAGGAAAGTTTGCTAATCTAATCCAAATAAACTTTAATAGGCTTGGTTTTTGTTATTTTGATTATTGGACCATAACTTTTCTTCATTTTGGAACCCAAGAGAGTTTCAAACTATTTTGCAATGACAGTTTCAACCAAAAAATAAAAAAGTTTGTTCTCTCCTTTCCCCAGAATCGAACTGCTTAGCTAAACAGCTTAGTAGGAGGCTCACCTGCCCCAAGAAATGCCTGAAGGGCAGGGACTGGCAGAGAAGAGCTGGTGATTGGTTCTTAGTTCTAAATTCATTCACGACAATGTGAATTTCCACTTTTAGACTATCTTAATATAAGTAAATAAGCACAACTTTGCCAGAATGAGGCGAACCTTGTCCACACCATGTAGAGTGCATAATGACTGAGGAGACAGGTTTCCCTTTAACCATTTCTGTAAACTGAAACTGCTTCAAAATTCACTTAAATTGCTTATAAGCATTTCCCCCAAATAACTTGATGAAAACCAGCATGATGAAGAAAATGGGGGAGTTTTGGAAAATTGAAGGCCTTTGGGTTTGTTAAGAAAACTGTGATCAGACAGTCAAATCTTTGTAAAGCTGACTCCCTCAGTTTCCAGTATTAGCTTCTGAATTTACTAATACCACTTTTTAGGCCAAGTGATTTCACCACTGACACAACAGTGAAGACACAGACATAATTCTTAAGCATAAGTGTGTGGTTCAAAGCAAAGAATGAAACCGCTCAAATGGGACACTTCAGCACAGAATTCATGGAGATGATCGATGTAAAGCCACGTAACTTTACACAAGTAGTATTTCGGAACACCTTCTACTCTCAAGGAGCTCTGAGTGTGAAGAATGGGTTCTCATAAGAAAAGTGAAAGGGCTTCAAGTGTTAAGGCTGGTTAAGAGCATTGTAATCACAACCCAGAAATAGTCTAAAACACACTTAACTGAAAGAAGTCATGTTTCTATGGACACTCGGTTAATTTAGCCCCTAAACCAATGTCCTGGAGGGGAGACTCTGCTTCAGTTATGGTCAACAGAGGTCCTGATTTTGCAGTGATGACTCTTGAGAGTCCACGCAACTCATGAATTTTAGACCAGCTCTGCCTCTCAGTCAGTGGGTTTGGTTAGAATAAGGGTCTGGTGATTGGGTTTTTCTAACCAGGAAGCATTTTGCACTATTTCTGTCTCATTATTCTGACTCTCGGCCATACTTTTCCTCAGAGTCTTCACATTCAGGACACATGTTCTTGCATATGTTTATACATTTCTCTTCTAGCTTGCCTGGCGATGTGTCTACTTGGCTTAGCTACAGCAATCGCATACCTACGGCAGCAAGTGAGGGGGGCCCGGGCCAGTGGTCCGTCTCAATCTTTGGTACCTCGCTGGGGTCTGGAGCCTGGGCTGCTGGGAACTTGGAAAACTTGATGATGTCTTCTGAAGATTTGCTCTGGGCTGCCAAAGCAGCTGCATCTAGGTGGGAATCACGGGGAGCTTAGCTCTCAGTCTGCAAGGCCTTGGTGGTAAAACCCCACTTCCATTGTTTTCTTGCTCTCTGGCAAGTTTCCACTCCAGAAAGTTCTGGTTATCACAGTTATCACTCAGTGGCAGCACCCAGTGACTGTTCATTTTCCTTACTTTGCATCAGAAGCAAAGCTTCAACCTACATTTGTTCTACATCTGAAAAAATCTTGTTCTAGAGTTATGATGTCTAATACCAGCGATATGTAGCTATTGGTATTTAAATGAGTAAAATGAAATCAAACAAAAAGCTAATGACATTAAAAATTCAGTTCCTTAGCCATATGGTCAGTGAAGACATGAGATTAGGGGCTATTCTACAGCAGCTTGGCTAATTCCATCATCACAGAAAGCACTGCTGGGCAATACTCTTCCAGGACAACTCAAAATTTAAATGAGTGATTTGAAATTAAAGAGCTAAGTTAGAAAGATGACAGTGTCACTTGACTGTCGTTGTTAATCAGAAGAGGTTCTGGCTAGCTTTATCTTTGTGGTTTCTTAGCCCACAAATATAATGCTCCAGTTCATTTTAGTCTCACATTATACATGTGTCCTAGGAGAAATACAAATGGGAAAACCTTCTTGTAGTTTGCAGGAATCTAGCAAAGCTCACTGTTTTGTGCAGGGGTCTGCACATACAAGTTTAAAACAACAAAAGCCAGACAAGCAACAGCATTCCAAGTTCTTATGGGTCATGCACAGATGCAGTCATGGCTCTGAGCCCCCAAACTAATCCCAGAGACCCAGCAAAACAAACCAGGTTCAATGGTCAATTCCGGACTCAGAGTTTGCAATCTGGCCTGGGATGTTACTAAACATTTAAAAATATATTTACTGTGCTTTATATAAAGCTCTCCCTCTCCCTGGGCTCACATCATTTTCAAACTGGAAATAACAGAATCTTTTGCTCCAACTCCCCATTCTTTTAGTAACCTTTTGGGTCTCAATTTCCTTGACCAAAGTTACTCTAAACAAGGGAGAAAGTCTTGGCCAGGCACAGAACATTGTCTCTCTGAATGGCTAGCCTTATAAAAAAATTAGCTTGGGGAACATTGCATATTATATATTTTCCTTTTAAAGTACAAAAGCATATGAAAGCAGGAGAAGCCTTGCATTCTTCAAAAAGAGTCATGCCTTCATTTAAATCTAGCGCCTTCCAAATACTCTTGGGCACTGACAGCAGGTTTTAGTTACCAAATATTTCAGTGGCACAGAACTGCTGTTCTGCAGAATGTCTTTTGGGAAGGACTGTTCTGGTTCTGTTACTCTAATACAACAGACAGGGAAAGTCTTCAAAGTTCATTTCTGGAAAAAAGCCAATTCACCCCTTCCAACTATACAATGCAACATTAGCCACGCTAAATCTTAATTACGATTATTTTTGTTTCGAGAGACAGGGTCTAGAGTTTTTGTATTAATAAAAGTCTCTAAGTTGATAAATCTTGGGAATCTTAAGAAAAGCATGACTTCAAACAGTACTTACGCATTAGAATTGATGAAGTCAGTAAACATTCACATGTTAATGAGTGGGTGAGAAGACATTAAACCATAAAAAACAAACAAAAACAATGTTAACAAACTTAAAAAAGCAAGCGTAGTGTAAAATCTTAAAAAAAAAAAAGAAACATAACAGATGAAGGAAGGAAATCATAGATCTAAAACCATTATAACACAAATGCTTTTTTCCCCTCAACGGTTGGCCTAAAAGTTTTTCCCTGTGCATTTTCAATTTCATTTGCTTTTCACATCACCCTAATCCTCAAGGACTCATTAATGTCAACTGGATTTGAAAGACAGCCTTCAAATTTCCAGACACATTTTATGTATAATTTTTTGAGGTCACCCAAACACTAGACTTAGCTTTCTATGCATGACAAAGATTTATGGCAGGTAAAATCTACAGAGATCTAACAATGGTGAAGAATACGTGATTTACATAAAGTACAGTGATTTTCTGGGTTTAAAAATTCTCTGTTCCCAGAAAAGGAAACACAATTATATAAATCCACATGAATGATTCTTTGCAGAAATTCCTGAGACAAATTGGCTAAGCTGACTGGTTTTCCGCAGATGAGACAACTGTGGGACACAGAGATTGCAACCATGACCTCACACGGACATTTAGGCCAGGAGCTGGCATAGGGCGAGTGCTTCTGGGTCAGCCTGAGTCTCATCCACTCCTCCTTAGGGCACTGATGCCACCATGGAGGCTGGTAAGAAACTGTCAAGTGATGTGGGCTTACTCCAGTCTTCCCGGTGGCTGGTTTTCATGATTTTAACTACTAGTTTCATTAGTGTTAACTACTTACTATAAAAGGCTGGATAAGTTATTTGATGACCAAAGAAACCCAAACCATCCTGTTAGGATGTTTGTAAATTATTGTGGGGCCAGTACTTCCCTTTTCTCTGAATGGGATGATCTATGGGTTGATAAGCTCACAGACTTGAAATTCCCCAATCAAGTTCTCCATTCAGAAAAACCAATTTCACAATATTTGCATCGTAGGAGGCCAGAGAAGCACAATACCCTGAGCATCCCAGACTGACTCTAAAAAGCAGCAGTAGATCAGCCTTTCAGAGAAGAGCAAAGAGAAGGTCAGCGGACTCTGCTACTAAAAGCTACGCGGAGGAAAGCGGGTTTTACCATGCTGTTTGTAGATGGGTGGTTTTCGGTAAATGTTGATCCCTTGATCTGTGGAAATGAAAAGCAAAGGTGTGTGATTATGGGAACCAGTTCAGTGGTAGGATAAACAGATCAACCAAGGGGCAAACCAAATGCAAGTCTCTTGAACAAAAATCTCCCAGAAAATTAATTTTTGTATTACAAAGATTGAAGTTATTGGAAGAAAAGATTACGGAAATGAATTACGAAAGACACAGTGATATGGAATTCTTTGTAATACAGCTTAGGATATCGAGGTATAACTCATTCATGAGCCATTTATGTCAAATACACACTTCATTAAAAGGGATTAAAACAGGAAGAAATGCAAGCAGCAGAGGGTGAACAGAGAGGAAGACATGGCCAGTGTGGGGGAGCCCCCCAAATGCCACAGTCTAGAAATTGAGCTCTCAGTGGATACCGGTGGCTCAATTTGCTTTTCTACAGATGAATGGAATAGTGGAAAACAATGTAGTAAGACTTTTTAAAAGAACAAAACTAAACACAGACACACTTTATGTACAGACTGTCTTGACGTGCTAAGATTTCAAAATATCCTGATGTGTCTGGGCCAAATTGTAAAAAAAAAAGAAAATGAAGCAGGACGCCAGATACTCTTCACGTATTTCACAGGGTCCTATCTGATACGCTACCACTTTAACTGCAGCTACTCAGGAAATTTCGAAGGGTTTGTTTCTCTAACATCTCGGGCACTCTGTCTTGGCGGCATACTCTTGAGGTGAAACGTTACAAACGTAGGACACTGATTTTTAAGGTTCAATGAAACTTTAAAAGAGGCAGTGCTAGCTTAGTAGTATGAATCTTATTGCATTTCCCTCTGTTTTAGTAGGTAAACTAGGACAGCTTAAAAAAAAAATAAGACAAGAGATCCCAAATGTTTACTAGTGTTAACATCACGAGTAATTTATTACACTACTTGTAGTAGCAAAAAGAAGCATATTAAGGAAACTCCAATGGGAAAAACAGTACCGTAACCTCTGATGGGCAATTTTGTCTTTGTCAAAATCGACTTTAAATGTCAAGGGAGTGGGTGATGTGCTCTGATTTTCCCAGGTCTTGGGGACAAATGGCTCCGAGTACAGTGGCAGCAAATGCTGTGGTTACAGAGCAAAGCTTGCAGCACCCAGCACCCAGCCTAAATTGCAAGATACCTTGTGGGTGATGGAGATGGTGAGTTAGTTGAGCCGGGCAGGGAGACCACCACACTGAGCCAATTTTAAACTTTCCTGAAAAGAAAAGTCCGTGGAAAGAGCTCCACCCCAGAGACAAACAGGAAAAATAAACACTGCCTCTAGCGATGCTGTGGTTTAATCTTCGGGATGAGAAGGTTAACTACATCACCATGGGGGTAATTAGTCAATGACACCAAACCACAGAGTGACATCGTAGGGGCACTAACACAAAAGGTGAAGTTAAAATTGTAGTCCAAACAAAACAAGACAGCTCAAACCTTCCTCCCCTCTCTGCCTCGCACCCTCTTCCAGAAACTTCGAGGAAACGGAAACCTTCTATCCAACCTTGGAATGTCACCTTCAAAGTTTTTGAAGGGCCCTCTAGGTGAGATCCTGCAATTTAGGGCTTGTCTACTGTGTGCATACCAATTTGAAGAGCATGAGGAATGGAGACGAGACAGAGGCTACATTCTACACCGTGACAGGACACCGAGACATAGACCATGTCAGCGCCTACCTGGAACATGGAAATGTTTAGGGGCCTGAGCGTAAGTTGGAGTGAGAGGGCGGCTGTCTGGCCGGTAAGGGAGAGGGGAGTTCCGGCCGCTGGACGGCTCATTGCCTCCAATGAGAAGAATGGAGAAAACAAAATGAGAAAAGGGAGAGCAATAAAGGAACAAAGCAAGCATAATAAAAATTCAAAACAACAAACTGGACATCAAAAAGGAGAAATAAAAGAAACAAATTCAGTTTATCAACTGGCTCGCAAAGGTGAAGGACGGTTTAGTCAGAGTTGAGTTCAAGGAGAACGAGTGAAGCGGCGAGCAGTAAGAGGCCTCATTCCAAAGGCATGCGGCAGGAGGCTGGGAGTCAGCGGCAAGCTCATTAGATGGAAAGTCCGTGGAGAGGATGGAAAGTCACCGATCATGGCTCACGGCCAGCTGTCAGATGGTTACGTCCAAGCATGTAAAGGGTGGGAGACGCCAACCCAGATACAGTCACTTCCAGGCGCGAGGGCAGAGGCTGGCATGGGGATACAGTTCTCTGAATGGAGGACTGAGTCTGCGGTCAGCAGACCTGCCCTTAGCAACACTCAGTGCCCGCACTGCAGCAAGGGCTTCTGTGTCCTCACGAGTCAGTACACAAGGCAGAGTCAGAATTCCCTTCTGCCGGTGCTTGGGGACCACCTGGGACCTCTGTCTACCTGTCTCCTTAAAGATGAGGCTCCACCCAGTCTAAGAATTGCACCAATGAAATATTTACCGAATACCCATGATGGCTGGGCCCTGAGCTTTGACTGAGGATAAGTAGGTGAGGTAGGGAAATCCCTGCCTTTGGGGGCTCAGAGTATCTACCTCAGGGGACAGACTGAAGGTGCATAAATATGCTGCCATGTAACTGCTCACGTGGAAGGGTATGAGACATTCTAGGGGTCTCAGGTGAAGGTGCCATTGATTTTGCAGGAAAACTACACAAAGAAGCTAGAATTGAACAGGATACTGAAAAGTAAGTTCACCAAATAGGTGGTGCGGTAGAAAGCTGAGAAGGCTCAGGTTCTGAAGGCGGGGACATCAAAGGGCCATGGGATTTGGGACACTGGGGCTGGACAGCATGATACTGGAGCAGAGACTGAACAGGGGCTTCCCGGGGCTTGGCTGCAAAGTCTTGGTGCCAACAGCGACCATCAATCCATTTTGATGAACAGAGGCTCATCCAAAATGAGAAAGAGAGGAGTGATTGCCCTAAATTCTCCTCTGCTTCCATGTCTGAGCAAATATCTGTCCCAAGAATACACTTGAAGATTAAGACTATCAAAAGTTAATGAAGTAGTCATATGATTCCTTTTGTTACTGAGCTGTAAGAGCTCTTGATAAATCTGTATACACGTCCCTGGTCAGCTATATGACTTGGCAATACTTTCTCTCATGCCGTGAGTTGTCTTGTATTTTCTTGATGACATCTTTTGAAGCTCCAGAGCTTCAAATTTGGACTAAGTCCAATTTATCCATCAATTAAATGATAATTTTCATCAATAAATATAACAGATCTTACAGAAAATAAAGCATGAGCCAATTGATTTTATTTTGTCTTTTATACTTGGTTTTTAAAATTTTGATAAAATTGACATAAAACATTGCATTAGATTTACGTGTACAAGAGTAAATTTCTTCAGGTCAAACTATTCTAACTCTGGTTCGTGATGCATGAAAAATGTCAGTTGCTGGAGTTTAAAAATAATATGTTTATTGATAATGGAGTTTTCATTTCTCCACTTCCTAAACATGCATATTTTTAAGTTCCCGGAGCACAGATGTGTTATCACATGGGCAGTAAGAGATGCCAACTAGACAGTTTGAACTGTAGCCTCAACCCTAGATTTCAGGGTTTTGGTCACGGCATTATGCAACTGTTGTCTCCTTTTTCTCAAGAGCCAGTACCTTGCTGCCACAAAATTATAGTGTAAACTTCACTCTTTAAGCCAGGAATTAACTTCTAGAAGTTATGCTAACTTATAAAAAGATTCATCTTAAAAACTCACTCACTCTCTCCGAAAGAGAAACAATCCATTGTCTGACAAAATGAATATTAAAAACACATGCGGACGCAAGCAAGACTGGTTCATTTAGCAGGGAATCCTGTTTACGCCGAAGGCTGAAGTAGAACTAGACTCATTCACCTTTGCGTGCTCAGCACGCAAAGTCCTAATCAATGTCTTTGAATGAATGGTGTCACCTAATTAATTCTACTGCTGTTTCCTGGCCTAATGTCATGAGTACCTCTGTAGGATTCAGCATCATCTATTTCAGACCTCATCATGAAAGGCATCCAGCTGCTGGTAGATAGCAACAGGGTCTATGAACTCTCCCTCTGTGTAACTCTCCCCCTAGAGTTGATCCCTGTAGCCCTGATCATGATAGTGACTGCTTCCTCGCCCTGAGTCCTCCTCTCTAACCTTGCTGTACTTATAGAATTTTAGATATTCCCAGGATATGTTCTCGTAGGTTTTGGTCGTAACACCCAATCAGATGAAACACCACTCAATTGGTTTAGATAATTATTGGCCAATGTTATTGGCAGATATACAAAGATCTGCCTCTGTGGGACACAGAGGTTTAAAGCAACTAAAATTAGCATTTGTCCTAGTAATATGTCTTTCCACCAAGAAGATGCTCTGTGGGTGGAAGGAGAAGCCCATCGCTTCTGACAAGGATGATGACGCTCCCAGGCTACAGGACAGTGGGCTCCCCACTGGTGTGTCCTGGCTTCTGCTGCCCCCCACTGGGCACAGGTTTTCATTTGGTTACATATCTCCAGCAACCACTACTGACCTTGCTAGTTGCTGGAAAAACTCTAACGTGTTTCAATCTTTGCAAACAGATTTAATGCTATGGTCATTTGAAACCACCTTCACAGCCTTTTAAAAAACTAGCTAAAGAGAGATTCAGTGGCACACTGGTCAGTAATTCTACATGACAATGGATCATTAGGGAATAAGGTCTGGGAATATGTAATGTTGTGAGGTTATAGCCCTTTAAAATTGAAGGTATTTATAAAAAAAAAAAGATGTTTTTAAAAGAAAAATCCTAGAGATCAGCCTTCTATCTTGTTGCTTACTGTCCTTCTCCTATAAATGATAAAACTTTTAACTCTATCCTGGGAGGAAATGATGCATGAAAGCCTTCAAAAGGTTATGTTTCTGTTTCACTCACTATTTTGGCCAAGTAAGGCTATGAGGCAATGGATGAAATACATAAAGGAAGTGTTATTATTATTATTACAGCATCATCATCATCTATTACTTCAGAGTCAAGATACCGTTTAAGAAATGTGTGTATTGATATATCATGTAATATAGTTTATATCACATCACTGCCACTTTGTTTCTTTAGGTCCTCATATAGGTTCACTCTAAGTTGTTAGCGACCTTAGCAATGGTGGTCAGGAACTACTATCCATAGACACAGGTGACTTTGGATAGCAAGGGTTTGAACTGCAAGGGCCATCTGTACAGACTTGCTCTCCACAGGTCCTGTATTCAATCCCAACCAGCCATAAATACACCTTGGATGGCTGAACCCACCTGTGGAGCTGTGGAACTCAGGGATCCAGAGAGCCAATTATAAGGGATGAACACCCACAGAGCTTTGGTCTCTGTGGGAGTCTTGAAACCGACCCCCCCACTGGACACTAGGAGACAGTAGCAGTTAAGCTCAGAGAGTCACAAATTACATGAAGGTTTTCAACTATATGGGGGCTGGGGGGGAGATGGAGTATCTGTGACCCTCATCCTTGCATTATTCAAGGGTCAACTATGTATTACATCTATACAGTTCACTGTAAATATATGTTGGCTTTCATTTTTAGCTCCTTCCTTGTCAGCCTAAGAGGAACATTTCTGGCCCCTGGGAGACTGGCCACTTGTAGGGTTCTCACTGTCCTTAAGGAATCACATTAAGTCTGTTCTCGTTCCATTCTTCCATCTGGGTGCCGAGAGCCTAAGTGACAATTTTTAACACAAGTCAAGTGAGACGGCTGTGCACTGTCTGTTGTGGGGACTTGCTCGGCTTTCTGAGTCAGTGTCTGTTCCAAAGGACAAATGAGTGTTTTGAGAACTTAAAGCTGGCAGCACTAACATTTCATGACAGCTCAAGAGTTGCTTAAAATTTTGATATGAGTTCTAGTTTCCTTCAGCAAGGGTCAAAAAAAAATGCCTCCTCGCTGCCCATATTTATGGCAAAATGCTTTTTTTAAAGAGACTTAATACATGTAGCCCTCCTGTCTGCACATCTAGTGTGTGCTTTATGCCCATAGGACAGTATTTCAAGGGGGAGGAAGAGAAACTCTGCAAACACCACACGAGGCCCCAGTGAAAACAGCTCTTCCAGATCTCTAAGGCACCTGCGCTTGTTTAAATGCACAGCAGTGGCAGACTCTCGGGATGGGGCTACAAGGATGGAAGAGAAGAGAAATAAACACACACCAGAAAACGAGAAGGGTGGTATGGAAATGATGGGAAGCCAAGGAGGGAGACAGGGAGACAGGGAGACAGAGAGACAGACAGGCAGGCAGGCAGGTAGACAGACAGACAGACAGAAAGCCTGCAATGGGCACCTGAGCCTCGACCCATGCAGACCCGACCAGCGTAATGAGGCTGGACCAGGTGAACCGAAAACAAGGACCAGGAAGTGGACTAGGGCTGGGGGAAGGTCCTGCTTCCAGCTGTATGTTCCTGACACGGACATCATGGACATCCTGCCTGAGGAATCAAGCTATGCAGCTCATATTGGTTTTAAAAATAACTCTTGAGACCACAACACAAGAAAATGGTCAAATGATGAGCCACTGAGAACCCCGGAGGCTGCTCCACTTCAGAGGCATCTGAGGTGTTTCTCCTGTGGCCTGAAGTCCCCTCGGAGTGGACATTTCCCAGGGCTGCAGAGGCCCCGGGTGGAAACGGACATGGAATGCTTTTTACAATAATACAGGAGTCTTTCCTGGGGGATCAGTGCTTACTCATTCAACGGCACTAGGCTTTTAAAGCAACATCTTTAATGTACAATTCTCTAGGTGTTATTCTGGCAAAAAGTTCATCTGGTGTTAAAACTAAGCATATACTGTTACGGGCACTGATTGCATTTAGTATCTAAACTGTTTCACATGAACAAACCACAAGCGCAGGCCCAGTGAGAAGAAACTGGGGGCTCTCAGGCTCAGGGGCATTCCATTCCCTGGGGCTTACTGACAGAATACCTGTGTTGAAAGCTTCACACTGAGACTAAAGATAGAGAAACAAAAGTGTTTCCGCATTTTAAATGAAACATCATGTAGAGAAAGATGCTGGCATTTGTGTGACTGGTGTTTCTACCAAAAAGTAAACACTAATTAATTTTGTAACTGAAATGGTTGAAAGCAGTCATTTGTCTTAGTCTCAACAAGAATGCTACTTCCTAGTTACCAAGAGGTGGACAATAAGAGTGCTTTAAAAATGACTTTATATATATTTATTTGGAAGCACTCATGCATCTGAATGAGGGATGGGAAGGCCTGGGGCCAAGTTCAGGAGTGGCAAGTTCTAGCTGAGCGCCCTTGTCCAGGTCACCATTGAGGCCCAGCCTCCTCCCCTCTGGGCTGCCACCCAGCAAGGTGGTGAAGAGCCAATGAGATAAAAGTCAAAGCATTTAAGAGCACCAGGCTGAGGGCACATCACCACGTATCAGACCTTTACCTCGAACACACCTAGGGACCTCGTGGTTTCAGGTGAGGCAGGTGACACTCAACAGCTAAAGTCAACACCCAAGTTTGGTCAACAAGCAGTGACTGAGATAATACCCTAGTTGGGGATGCCAGCACCCTCAAAGCTGCTCACAGACAGGTGGTGGTAGAGTCTTGAGATTTTGCGGGGTGTTATTTGCACAAACTCTGCATGACTTGATCTACAGGACACAGGATGTTTTCTGAAAATAGCATCTCTTGAAAGATGAAACATAGAATAAGCAAACAAAGCAGCTCACAATTTAAGGACTGAAACCTGTTTTCTCTCATATACTAGATACAAACTCATCTCAGTGTGGCTGAGGGCTTCTATATTAAAGTCTCTTTAAAATACATCTCTGAAGTTTACCAATCATTTCTTAGGATTTGCTGAACATTCTCTTAAGTATTTTGACATCTAGATCATCCAAGTTCAGTCCCCCCACCCGCTACCAAGATATTAAACAGCAATAAGTGAAACTACTCTGTCAAGAATTTGAGCAATTTAGCCTGAGTTTTGGCTGCGCCTGCTGACAAAGACCTCCCTTTGCTGGGGTCACTGTGTCCCCCCAAAGAGCACGTCAGTGATGGTTCGGTCGCAGCCCAGACCATGCTTAACCAGCACCTGCAGGTGACTGCAGACTGCTAAGCATAGTCCGCCTATATTTAAGGCTCAGGTACTCAAAAATCCAAATGAGCAAAATAAAGCAGCCTGGGTAGGCTGCAAACAAAAAAAATCCCGTCAGATGGGACAGTGTCTAGGCTACTTGATGGGGACAGGGACAGACCCACGCCATGAGGCTACCCGTCCAGCTGTTTTCATCAGTTCACTGGGTTGGAATCAAGACCATGGAAAAATCAAGCAGTCTGATGGGAGCTCATATGTATTTTTCAATTAAGACCCCTTCATACACTCTTTGGGGCTCTTGTCTCCCCTGACTTGTGGAGGGGAACAATAGACCAGTTGAGAGCTTCTACAGAAGCAAAAGGGACAGTGAAGAGACCGGGAGGGAGGGAGCCAGAAAGGTGGGGCAGGAACAGATCCACAAGGCCGGGCCTCTGCTCCACCATGCAGAAACCAGGACAAATTAAAAGCACGTTGCTCCAAGGGGTGGCTCAGGGGAAGAAAATGAAGTGGAGTCACCCTAGATCTTTTGATACAGCCCAGACATGTCAGTGTTGTCAAGAGATTTATCACCATTCAGACAACTTTTGGATGTTTGTTGCTAAGTGTTTGGCTCGGCTGAGACAGATCACATTATCAAAACAGGAAAATAGCCTGATGATATATTACATTTTGCTTTTGACGCCCAGAAAAACAAAATGATAATATATATTTTTCTAAGCAGTCGATAATACGTCTTACGTCTTGAGCAGACTTCCTGCTTCTGCATCTAGAGACCTTAGAAATGACACACGTCTCCCCGCGAGAGGCCGTGCCAGTTCTAAGACGTGGGGGCAGCGTCACACGCAGGCATGCGGATAGGGCAGCTTGGCGCTGTCTCTCGGAGATACACCTTATTAGCCTTCCGGAGCTAATAAATCTCCGTGGTGCAGGGTGCTGCCTGAGAAGGCCGCCTCCTTACCTTTGATATGGGGGATGAAGTGGTGTCGGAAGGGGGAGTTGGGGCGGGAGTCGTTGTGGGTGGAGCTGAGGCTGCTGGTGCGCAGGTAGGACAACCTGTGCACACCAGGAGACAGCAGCTCTGTGGCGGCAAGGAGTCGGGGCGGGGGAAGGCGGAAACAGAAAAGAAGAACAGAAATTAACACAGGCACAGGCACAACAGCACCGTCCCCCGGGGAGAGAAAGACAGCACGTTAATCGCCAGTCTGCAAAAGGAGGGAGGAAAAAGGGTTAAGAAGGCACCTGCTGTGGTGAAGGCCATGTGGGGAGAAGGGCACAGTCCAGCTGGCAGAGTCTCCGAGAGTAAATGGTTTTTGTGAGAAGGAAAGGGACCAGGGCATTTGCTCAGAGGACAGCGCTACTTCTGGGCCAGAACCTGGGGCTCCATTTGACTCAAAAAGGGCTGCTTTTACCGAGCACCTCACAAAGCACAGTCCTTTGAAAAGCAAGTAAAAATAAGAGTGATGCCAAGAACCTTGAAAAAGAAAAGTACTCATTATGTAAGGGTCAGATTCATTTTGGAAGATGTAAACTTCTCTCCCCCCCGCCCAAAGCTTAATTGTATTTTGCCTACATAAGAGGAGCCCCTTGTCTGTGGCCCCGGGTGGTGACCCCGAGAATCACAGAGCAGCAGTTTTGGGAACAGGAACTTGGTTTACTGGGAAGAAGGATGGAACCTCAGAACCAAACTCAGACCTAGCGGATTTACCACCTGCTGCCTGGGGTGAGGGAGTGGGTAGCCGGAGGTAGTTTTTCCTGCTCATGACTATGCTATCAGAACCCCACCACCTTTCACAAGGGTCACCCTCGAGAAAATAATGCTAGCCCCCAACAAGTAACTGGCATGGGCACAGCCGTCAGCACTGGGGAAGGAGGAGCCGTCCAAAGGGACATGTTCTAAAGGCTTCGGGGCCACGGCTGGCACAGACGGCCAGGGCTGAGGCTGAGTGCAGCCTGCCCTCCAGGGACCCGAGTCCCCAACTGGCCCTTCCCTCACCTATTCAGGACGCTGAGCTACAACAGTTTCCCCAAACCCATGTCACTAACAAGGTCACACTTGGGGTCTCAGTGACCTCAGCTCACGCCATTTGCAGAGGTGGCAGCCTGTAAGATTTCTTGTCACCCAGGTAGACAAGGGCTTAAATCTAGACTCAGGTCCCGGGCATGAATAAGACGAGTAGAGACATACGCAGGAAGGAACAGTTCCATCTAATGGGCCTCGGTGGCGCCCAGAGGACATAGCTTGGAGGACCAAGTAGGACAAGCTGCGTCCACTACAAGCAAAATCTATGGGTCTCAGGAAGACTGCAGCCGTTTTCCATTTTCTCATTCCCTCTGGTTTGTTTCATAAATGTAAGTGGAAATGGGGACAGGTTTGTTCTCATCAGCCTGCAGAGAAGCAAGAAACTGAAAGCGAAGCCTTTACAGATGTGTACTCTCACCACGTCTGTCTCGAAGGCCAAGGCTGCCTTTCTAGACTACTTCTTGGCAAGTGCTAGCTCTGTCGTGATCTCCCTTCTGTTCCTACCTCACACACGTGACACTACTGTGATTAATAATAGGGCCTGGATGCTGATGGGTAGACATCCATGCTATTCTCGACCACAGTTCATCACTGGTATTTTTATGTCTTTCAGGTCTGAGTCCAAATCTTGGGGCTGGAAAGGATCTTGAGCGTTACCAGATACAACCCTGAGGCTGAATCCAGTAGCATCTTCTAGAAGGTTCAACCACACAAGTTTAGCAGCCCCCATGTACTGGGTAAGAGAAACACATTTAACCCATCCCCACAGGGTTAATACCTGAAAGGCAGAGCAATATATTTTCATCTGGAGATCTTAAGTCCAAAAGTGATGAGAATTTCCAAGTCTAAGACATAAAGTCTCCCTTATTTCTAGCTGTTCACTGTCAAAGTTACTTCATAAATCATAATGAACGACAACAATAACGTGCTGTTTCAAGTATGACACAAAGTATAGTTAGATCTGAGTTTTTTTTTCCTTCCCTGGGAGCGGGGTGGGAATATCTGGAAGCCAGTTACCAATGTGGGGGAGCCCCACGGAAACAGAGGGCTATGGAAAGTAAACCCCAGGAACATCTGCCCTTACCGGGTCTGTGAAAATGCTGGGGCGACCGAGAGGTGGTTGGAGTGTAACTGTGGCGGCTGTACACCGGGGAGTTGATGGAGCCCTGGCTCGGGGACCGGTGGATCATCCGGTCACGAACATCCTGGTAGCCCTGGAAACAAATGTTTTTGTTTTTTAATGATAATGTTTATGATATCACCACTCATAAAGGTAGAACTTCCTATTAAGTACTTAACACGCTGGGGAATAATCAAGTAAATTACAGCATATCCATTCAACAGCACCACTAGCACATGCAAATTTGGGAGTGAAAATACCTAAGAACTGCAGAAACTACTCCCCCCTCCTAGATATAATATAAAACTGCTAAGAGAACTGAAAGAATGTTTTACATTTTAGGAATCTGGTTTGCTAAGAAGCTTCTATTAGCACATCAAGAACACATACATTGGTACAATAAATTAAGACCCTGCTTAACCAAAACTGTGAAATTTAAGAGCAAATGACAAAGGAACTTTGGGTTGATTCCAGTCGACTATAGCAATAAATTAAGTAAAAGCCTTAAAACAAAAAATTCCCATAGGATGTGTTTCAACCTTTCACCTGGTAAATAACAGGTGAAACTATGATTCTTCATAGTGACAGCTGTTAATTATCAGAATACTAATAGAAATTAATTCACCAAACTTGGCCATAAACCATAAGAACCCTATAGATTGTTATTATCTCATAGTGGCTGCCTAAACTCAGTCCAGGTTTATGGAGAATATCCATAAAGTGGCTTGTCTTAAGATGAGGCTGATTCTATTTACACTATTTTGTCAATTTGGAGAAGCCCCAGGGGGTAAGGGGTTGGTTCACTAGTTCACTGGATACATAAGGAAATGCAAAGCAGTAAGTGCACCAGCTGCCCAGTCTCTTGAGTACTGGTCTCTGTGAGCACTGAGAATCAGTGAATCTGTGAATCAAAGTGCCTAGTCTGGCCTCGGTGCTGGCCAACCTGGGAACTGTGATCTCTGAGCATCAGGCTCCAGCCTCAAATCTTCCTCCTTGTCTCCCAAGGGAAATATTATGCAGAGCCAGCAGAAAGCACCTCTGAGGCCTCTCTGGTGGAATACTCGGTAGCAGGGCTCTGGGCTGGCCTAGAATCTAGTGGCACAGTGTAGTGGAGTTCTGGGATGACCCAGAAGCTAGTGAAGCTAGGGTGAAGGAGCTGTTCATCGCACAGACTGGGAGCACCAGAACTTTCTCTATGCTGGATGGTGATGATGGTTGATGTGGGGTTGCATCTTGGCCCAAATGCTGCAGGGTGGGGAGAGTAGGCTGGGTGCATGCCAGACCCCAGCTCATGACAGCGCAGTCACAGATGCTGGGCCTTGATCCCCCTCCAAAGAGATGGTTATTTCCCAAAGAACCTCCTGGGGACCTGGATAAAAGCCACTGGAGGTTCTGTTTCCTGCACTGACTAGCAGTGGCCTGATGTAAATATGACTCTTCTTCTGGAATGTGCTCAGCCACTGTGGGCCATTTCTCTTAATCCAGAATATTGGCGTTCTGGATTAGAATATCAGAATATTCTCATTCCAGATGGGGGGAGAGAGTCCAACATCGGGACAAGTAGATTCACGCCGTGTGAACCCTTTCTTACCCTCAGGCACAGGCCCAGACTGCTGAAAGGTTATTTTTTATCTGCTCGTCTCTGTCTAGAGACAGAGATCCTCCTATAGACTCCCCTGCCCTGTCTCACATATGAGGAATCTCCACATTCATCAGGATCAAAGGTACAACTCTTCTCTTCTCTGTGTTTAATGTCCTTTTTTAAATATCCCAGGCCAGGAAAGGTCTAAGTGGGTCCAACATTCTACCCATTATAATTTTCAAAAGTAGTACTTACTTCTGCGGATGGAGTAGGAGACAAAGTCCTTGGAGACTGAAAGAATCAAAGAGAATTTAGAGTGAAAACATTTACCAAGTCTCTCTCTCTGTTAAGAGTGGATATCAGAATCATCTGGAACATTACTCAAACGCACACATCAGCACCCCTGCTGGCCCCTCCTCGGCTGACCCAGTGGGTGGAAGGCGGGGTCCAGGCAGGCCTACTCTGATGATGGTCCTGAGGCGCAGGGGCCCTCATCTACTGCTTGAACACCAGGGTGTGGAATAAACAGGGTGTGACGCTTTGGGTGACTAAGCCAGACATATTGGAACCATTTCTGCTCTATGCTTAAACTATGCTCACAATAACTATGAGTTAGAGCGTTGACTGAGATACAGAATTTTACAAACAAGGCTGTCAGCTGAACTCTACCCTCAGCAACCATGGAAACAACACTGATGGCCAGACGCCCAGCTTCCTACCCTTGCCAGCCTGACTCCCATTCCGGCTCCTGTCCTTTCAGGCAAACCGGCTTCTCTGGCAGCCATCCACAGCCCAAGCCCGCTCTCACCTCAGGGCCTTTCATGTGCTTTCCTGTAACTGTGCTCTGCATTTAGACACTTAGACGCATGCCAGGCTTGTCTGCACCCACAGGAAGGTCTCTGCTGCAAAGCTCTGCCCACAGCGACCCTCCTATTCAAGTGGCTGGTCAGCTTGGCCATGTTTTCTCCTGTCCATTTCCCTCAGAGCACTACCCCTGTGAAGCTGTTACATATCTGCTTTCCGCGTGTCTCCCACAGAACACTGCAAACTCTGAGGTCCAGGACTTCCTTCCTTGGCAAGTGTCCCCAGGGACAAGGGCTGCTCCAGGCACTCATAGGCACTCAGCAAATATTTGCCAAATGAAGATGAAATGTCCACAATTAAAATGCAAAAAGCCTTCAAAGAGGAACAAAGCATAACCCAAGTGTCGTGAACAACACGTTCAGTGCTGGGGTTGGAGGTTTCAGAATCTGTGTCTTGCCCCCAATTTTCAAGAAGCTGCACTCCAGGTTCCTGCCAGCCCAACTCATCCACAGGGCCAGGCTGGGGGGGTGGGAGGGGTTGTTGGCTGGGGACAGGAGTCACCCTGCTTTCTAAATGCCTCCACGGAGCTGCGGGTATACGCCTTAGTGAGGGGCACGAAGTTCACGTACAGGTGGGGTGAGCTCTTGACATCACCATGTGCACAAGTGAAAATTTTTTAAAAACTTAACAAAAAATGACAGTGCTGATTCTAGAGAGGAGGTGTCCTGGGGTAACAGCCCCATTGCTTGCAAAGCTTGCTGAGCTGGAAGGTGCCTGGGTCGGGAAGCTCTCGCGAGCGTGTGTGATTTCTGACCCGGGGCAACCCCATGCAGAGTCTGTGCTCAGGAAAGCCCCAGGTCCTCGTTCCAGGTGACGACAGTGTGTAGTTACGGTCCTAAGCACCTCGTTTAAACCTTGCAGAAAAACTCTAAGGTACAGTTATTTTGAGTCTCCAGATAAAGAGATTGAATTACACAACTTTCCTAAAGTCAATAAATTTCAGTTTGGTTCCAAACCCTGACGTAAACCCTGTTTACTTCAAAGCCCAAACTCAGTAATTGCTGTTTTATTGCCCTGAATGGAGCCACTGAGACCTCCAAACCAGAAACATAAGCCGATGCAGCCCCCCACACCCCTGCCTGTGTGGCTCGGACACTAGGAAATTTTCAGTCACTTGCTTCATGACCTGCCTCTATCATGAGAAAAGCTCTCCAGGGCCAAAGGGCAAAGGAAGTCCCAGAACCAAGGGACCGGTGCTGTGGAAAAGCCACAAGGTGCAGTTACAGCCATGAGTCCACTAGGTGGCACTACATGAAAACGGACATCTTTTCCCACCCAAGGGCTGCTTTAATGCTGGGCTGTGCTCTAGAATAAAGTCCAGATTAGAACATCTATAAAAAGAACAATGCGCATTGTAACTGCAAATAAACACATTTTCATATTCTATGTAATAGCAGTGAAAGAGCATCACCAAGACTTCATGCCTTTTCACCTAAGACCTAAAAGCACTGTATGGTGTTACAGATAGTCTGTCTTAATCTCAGTTGAATGACTGATTTCCGTCCATGCTGTTAACGTGCTTGGAAGGGATTCAATCAGTCTGTAGATGTTGAGATTCCAATTAAAAAAATGAAAAACAATTTAGAGTGAGCTGATAGGGCAAGGAGACAGACCAGAGTGGGAGTCCTGGGTATGGTGACAGCAGGGAACTCCTTCCCGGCCTTGGACCCTGGGGGCAGGGCGTGTCAGTGAGCCCTGAGCAGAGCGGACAGGGAACAACAGTAATAGAGGCCATGTGCTGAACAGTTACCGCGAGCCTGTCCCTCCACCGGTACTTGGCTCATGCATTTAATCCTCACTGTTACCCTCTGACAGGGAACAACAGTAATAGAGGCCATGTGCTGAACAGTTACCGCAAGCCTGTCCCTCCACCGGTACTTGGCTCATGCATTTAATCCTCACTGTTACCCCCTGAAGTAGATTCTGTCTTACAGATGAGAAGATGAGGAGCAGAACAGTTGTCAACTGGCCCAAGCCATACAAGCAGCAGGGGACGTCCCTGGGCTGAGCCAGGAGAGCACCGCTCATACCACCGCCCTGCACTGCGGCCCCAATCTTTACTTTTATTTTTTTGCACATTCTATCTCAGGATGCTGAAACTTGCCACTGTCAAAGATCAGGGTGTATGCTTTGTTTCCTTAAGCTCCCCGTGAATACACTCCCAGTTTTCCCCAAAGCCAGAACTCTCCCTCTCTTTTCCCTCCACTGAGAACACAGGATTTTTTCTGACAACTCCGGCTTCCCTCCCAAAGTGTGGCTCCCTACCCTACAACCCAGCATCTTTTACTCGTCCTGCAATGTCCTCTGAGTGGTCTGTTCTCCCACTTCCTTGTGCCTTCCTGAGGGCAGGGATGGTGAGACAGGTTTTTGAATACCTGAAAGCACCTGCTGTGGAGTCTGCAGCTGTAGGTAAACAGCAGAGCCTCTGACTTATTTTGACACCCATCAGTTCTTGTAAATGTGGCAAAAAAGAAGGTAGTTTGTCACAGAAGTTACAGCATGCAGAAATTATTACCTCTCCCAGGCTCTGCCTGTCCTGTTTGTCATCGTAGCCCGAAGAGTAGAAAGGTTCATAGGTAATAAGATCGGGACGTTCAATATCATAAATTGCCTTGACCTTGGGAATGGCTGCTAAATCCTTGTAATCCAGGATTTCATTGTCCACTTTTGCCTGGCAAAGTTAAACAGAAAGAAAAATTTCTCTGCAATCTCATTTCTTTGAGGAATTACAACTAGTACATTGCATGTCTTGCTTAAAAAGTGATGGCCTTAAAAATAACCAAAATCCAAGACATCTTGCTTAGCATGGTCATACTCCCTAAATAGCTGCCCTTTCTTTAAAAAAAAAAAAAAAAGATTTATTTATTCATATAGAACTGGGGTACAAGTCAGATGTGCAGGAGTGGTGAGAGGCTTCACCAGAGACAGAGTGGGGAGCAGTGGGCGGGTCAGGAGAGGTCAGCTGTGCCAAGTGAATCACCTCCCTGGCCGGGGATCAAACTTGCACTGAAGCAGCCGTGGCTAGCGTGCAGCACTATGTCCTAACCCGCTGTGCCACCAGGGAGGGCCAATAGATGCCCATTTTTAAAAAAGATGCTGAAAGGTCAGGAATAAGTCTATATAGAATTCATCGAACAGGAAAGCCTTGGAAGCAATCAGGATAATTTCTGTAATTGATTACAGAAAAGCAAAAGCTCATTGATGATGAAAAAATTTTTCAGATGGCTAAAAACGAGAATTGCATAGTTAAGAAACTAAATATTTAAAAACTTTCGTGAGAGAATTTTAGAACGTTCCTTATCAGCATTATAAAAGAAATACTCAGCCCCCAAATATCTCTACGTGAGCCAGGCCCAACATTAGTTTGCACATTATTGCGATTTCTAGAGCACTGATCACACCACCACTGGTCAAATCCACACAGAAATTTAATTATTTGCAAGAAATGTGATTGAGAAGGCTAATCTGTGAAAACAAAAATGGGATTGCAAGACAGAAAGAGAAATCCTTTTGAATTATCCACTCCATTACACAGTGTGTGCCGGTGTCTCAGCCAGAAGTCAGTACTTACATAGATGGTGTGACCGGGGGAGCCGGGGATGCTGGAGCCTGGTCTGGAATAAATGCTCTCGGAGGACGTCCTGGTCGGCTGGAAAATAGTGACTGGTGAGATTACAGACCAAGGCTTCTAAGTCAAGACTGCCAGCGTCCTAAGCTTTACTAAACACTGAGCTGGTTAAAACGGGAAAGATGCAACTTTTATGAATAAGAGCGAATATAATCTAAAAGGAAAGATGAACAAGAATTCGTGTCGTCAAGCTTAGAAATGCGTGGGGGACCTTTGTCTGTAGCTGCTCTTCCTTGTATCCTGTGAGACTTTCTGGCTTTATCTTTAAATACATTTCTCTCCATCTCCCCAGCCATAATCCTGGCTTGGGCCTCACCTTGCACTTCTGGGTTACAGCAGGTCTCCTCATGTGGGTTTCCTGCCTCGGCCTTTTCAAACCAACTGGGTACCCAGTGGCCTGAGAGATCTTTTAAGAACATAACTGGTGATTCCTGTTTGGCTTCAGGGTTCTCTTAGAATAAAAACAACTCCCAGGACTCTGGGGTCACTGTCACTACCTTCTTGTTCTTCTTCACCTACAACCCATCATCACTCACAGAATATAGTACACGGCCCTGACTTGGGGTTCTTACAGTAACCTTGCCGCTCCAGCTGCTTGAAATGCTCTAATCCCCAATTTCATGTGGCTGGTTCTTCTCCTCCCTGGCCTTGGCTGAAATATTACCTCCTCAAAGAAACCATCCTTGATCTTTTAATGCAGAGTTGGGGCCCGTTAATTCCTTCCATTGTGTTATTTCTATGTTTTCATTCATGAATAAAACTTGTTAAGTCCATTTTGGGGGATTACATTATATCCAGGTCCCCCTTTAACATCAGTATCTCTGACCACGAGGCTCCAGGTTTTCACCAGCGATAAGCCCACTGTTTTTGCCAGGTACATAGAAGGCATCAACAGGTATTGAGGGGACAAGTTAGAATTATTATCCATGAACACACACTCAATCTGCTGCATGTTAGTGACACAAGTTGAATGGCTAAGTCCACAGAGACCCTGAAGGAAGGTTAGTACTCGGCCACTGGAGAAGCTAAAAGAAACTTCATAATAAACGTGCGGAGAGCCTGATAGGGGCTGGTGATACAGGAGCAGGAGGGAATGTGGAAATGAGGGCTGAGTGCCTCCTGCCTCTGCTCGGCACCTCCAGAAAACTCTCCAAAGAAAGCCAAAGTCCTAATCTTGGAACACTTGCTCCCTCTATGCAGCCATTTCGTGGAACATCTAATTTCGGCCTTTTCTTCTTCAGTACGTGTATCTACAGATACTCAGCAAGTAGAACTGAGTGGAACTGAGCTCAGAGAACCCTGACACTGATCTTGCCTCTCAGTCCCAGGCTGAGCACCTCTGGGCTTGCTCCCATTTAACCTTTTCAAGATCCCACACGCAGGCGCTGTTCTCACTGGTTTTACAGTGGAGCATGAAGCACTCTACTTCCAGCCACAGGGAAAGAAAAGACTCGGGACTCGAAGCAAGGCAGCCACAGGCAGAACCCTAGTCCTTAACCCCTTCACTAAATTCTTGCCGGTATATATTCCTCAAGAAAAAAATTCAACAGTGAACTCTTACCAGAAGACTAGCAGTTCAAGAGGAAAAAGAAAAATGACACTGATGCCTCATCTTACAGGCTTGAAAATATGTATCCTTTTGCTTTTTGTCTAAAATTTTCCCCCAAAGCCCACTAACTTCCCTTCAGCTGATTTTCCCTCCACATGGACTTTGTCTGACAGTGTCCATTGGTCCTGTCATTTAGAAGGCAGTTCCTAGACTGAAAGTTACACTGAAGGATATTTTGTGTTTCTACTCTGGCTCTCATCATTTTTAAATATCCACCAGTTAAAATACTTACCAGGGCTCTGCATGGAGAGTAAAAGGAAGGACAGCTTCCATTTACTTTCAGTTCTGGACCACCATGCATGTCTGGTCCCTTAGAAGGAAAGTGCTGGAAAGCCCTCACTGGCCCCTGCCCTTCCCCATTGGCAGGAACAGGGGGTGCCATAACTACTTCATCTAATTTGCACTCATCCAAGATCATGCTCTTAAGAAGGAGAGAGAAACTACAGGTACCTGGTCCCCAAATCAGGACCATCTGGGGGGCAGCTGCTGGTGGGAGTTGACTGGCACCTGTACAAAGTGCTGCTGAGCGGAAGGAGTCTGTCTCAGGAAGCTCACTAGACAAGGTGGTGATCACGGCTGCAGAAGCAGGAGCACTTTGAACATCTACATACATTGAACATTCACTGCCCAATCAAGGAGGAGTGAAATCAACTCTGGAGAAAGCAGTATGGGTTTGAATGGGCACATCCCCCTTTCTCTGCAGAGTCACAAATGCCATCAGCCTACTACAGCCAGTGTCTTTCCAGTATAAACTCGAAGCATAGCTTCAGCTAAATTGTCAGACAAAAAGAATAAAATATTTGACAGTGGGCATAAAGCAATATGTATTGAGGTGACACTAGGGAAATGACTAGCAAAATGATTTCTTTGTTCTGGATGTACAAAAAACCTCAAATGAACTCCTTTTAGAAAGTATACAGTGTGTGTTGGGTACGTTACAGGTTTGCAAGTGCTTATCATAGGTGAATGTTAATTAAAAACCTCATGCCCATATGACTGGCTGTCCATTCATGTCTCAGCCTCCCAAGGCACAGCAGAAAGAAGCCCCTTTTAGAATGAAAGCAAGTGACCCATGCTGGATTATTACAAACTCAGTCCTGGGAATATCATGGGCTTTATTTATAGTGAAACCCAAGAGGATTTGCAAATGCTCAGCACTGATTCTGACCTGTAGATAAAACTTACTCTTCAGAAAACAAACAAAAAAACAAAAAAACACTTCCAAGTAAATGAAATGGAAATATCTGTCATAGGCAGTACTACTTTCATTATTTCCTTTAACTCGCAATTAAAGCAAGAGGAAAGGAGGAGAGACTTCAGAATATAAATAATATGATTTTCCTTCCATAAATTTGATTTTCCCCCACAACCACACAGGGCTTATTTCTGAGGCAAAGAGCTGAATGCCCCTGTTGGGACAACATTCAGGCTACCTAATAACTAAAGGAATTTGGTATTATCTAGCGAAATGAGCTGTGTGGGAGCCAGAGTACTAAAAAGATCACAATATCTGTGAGCCTTGAGAACTGCATTACTTTGGCGTTTGCAGGTTCCCGGAAGATTCTGGTCCACGTTCTTTAACAGCAATGGGTGAAGTGAGCCTTGCCCAACTGCTCCCTTGCTCTGCCAGGTACCCAGCTGCTTAAGATGTTCTGTGATGAAGTTAAAGTTGGCTTCACCAACATTGATGGCTGGGTAATGGGGACCAGATGTCCCTTTTGAGTAACGGGATAGGATGAGAGAAGTGAGTAAAATCAGAACTCTCGCTCTCAGTTCACCCACCACTTCACAAGATGCTCCCCAGCTCTTAAACTAAAGGGTCTGGAGCAAACCAAAATTAGCTTATGCTGGATGGTAATAGTTTTCTTCAAGTCATGAAAATGTATCCCTTAGTTATGGTCTTAGGCTAGCAAAAAAGAACACTCTTCTGGCTATAAAGGATACTTTGGTGGGGAGAAAACTCCGAAAGCTACTTGAAAGGTCAAGGTCAACTTCTTGTCAAGTAGAGGTACTAATTCTGAGTGGTACCCACTTAAGAGGTGGGTGCTCTTTGGCTGTCCTCCGGATTCATGACATAATTTCAGTGTATGTGAAAACTGCCTGGGGGCTGCAGCCTCCGTGAAGGTCACATGACAAACACAAGTTGCTGAGTAACTAGCATCGTGGGCCCAGGTGGCTCAGCCAGGACAGGAACCTATGAGGACATTGGGCTGCTGTGACCTGTGGAGCCCTCACAGCTTCATTCTGGAAAAACCTTGAGGGTTGATCTCTAAATGTTCTTTCCACTCCCAAAACAATGCTTCAAGCTACCTTTCAAATGATGTAAAGAAGGTGAAGTTTTAATAAGTGCTGATCAAAACCAGAGCCCTTCTTGGTCTCAGCACAGTTCTGACAGGCACAGGCAAAAGGTGTGGGGCGTGGGACTGTAACCCTGAGCTTTCTGCGGAGTGGCAATAGAGGTTTCACCTGAGCACACGGGATTATGGAAAGTCACTTGCAATTTAGTGGCTAAGGGTTCAGCTGATTCTCAGAGAATCTGAAGCAGCACAAGAGTCTGCTGAGACACGCTCCCGCCCGGCTGCTCCTCTGGAGAGCTGGCCAAGTGGTCCTACTTGTAGGTTGCCCCAGGTCCTGCATGTCACGCTGTCCTGTACTTAAACTGTCACACTTGGCCGTTGCTCAATGCTCTCCTCATCCCCAGCTTTCACTCTCACTAGCCTCTCACAGTACAATGGAAGGAACATGCACTTATAAGTTCATGGAGACCTGAGTCCCAATCCTACCTCTTCTACTCACTCAGTTGTGGGGTAACTCTGGAGAAGTTATTTAACTATGATGGGCCTTAGTCTTTCCATCTGCTAAATGGAAGTAAGAATAGCTCCCCCGGGAGCCTTTAGGCTGTGCGTCCAAGCCTCTGCAAGCAGGTGTCTGGTCTCCTGTTTCCTCCCCAGTCATGTGACTGCTCCTTCCTAGAGTCACCCCACTCCCCTGTTTTCCCCAGCTCCATCCTGCTCTGCTCTCTCCCACATAGTTCCACCCCTTTCTCGCCATCACTACATGTTGTAATCTTATTTTGCCTCCAAAGTTCAACTCAGTGACCACCTCTAGGGAGTGCTGGCACCCCAAAGCACTTGATCTCTGTGCTCCCTACCATGGGATGTGTTCCCCTGCCATCTGCCATCTGCCCTCTGTCCCCTACAAGGCTAGGTCTACAGCATGATCGCTAGGTGCTTGGCTAATATTTGTTCAATGAAAACATGTGTGAACACAGGATCAAAAGGGGTGCTCACTTTCATGAATACAGCGCTTCAGCCACTGCTCTAAATGAAAACAACGATCAGAGAGGAAAACAGCCAGGGTCAGAATGTGAGGTGCACTCCATGGGGTGAGAAAAAGCATCTACAGCTGCAAGAGCCCAGGTTATGTGGGGAAGGCAGCATAGGGGAAAAGCGACAAAGCCCAGGGCTGGGCCAGCAGCTCCAGCCTCAGCCTGGACACAGCGCCAACCTGCAGACACGGAGAGCGTCCTGTGCGTCGAATCAGACTTTTGGGATAAAAGAAATCGGACGGAGAACGATGGAAGTTTGGTAGCTGCGTGAGACATGGAAAAGGGAAGAACGAACAAAGAAATAACCTCAATGCAGAAATACTGTAGAAACGAAAAGTAACAGCAAATCTTAGGGAAAAGCTAGTAAGTGCCTAGAGGTGTGACCTTAGTTGACGTGTGCATTTTGGGGTCCCATGTTTCAAAGCATGGCCTGTAAGTTACGGTATGTTCCTACACTCTGGCAGTGCTTTCCACTAACTGGGGCTCAGACCTTCTATAGAAAGAAAAGGGAGAAGCCACTGAAGGCACTGAGAGTCGTTCGTAAGGGTCTGTTATTACAACGCCCCACAGTTTCTTAAATATCAAGAATGTGGATTACTCAGTGGGGCTGTTGAAAGAGTCTTAAAACATTTTCATTTTGCTATGGTAACTGACTAATGGGACACACAGCGAAAGGCCTGGAAAGCCTGGTCTGGGATTTGTGATCTGGAGACACACCCTGAAAAACACCCAAGATTTATTCCCTTTTTTCAAAACCTATTTCCTCCTAGGTCCCACTGGAGCCAGCACGTACCCCACTCGGGGCACCATGGAGCCTTCCCTCTCTGAGGTGTGCCACTCTCCTCACGCCTGGGCATCCCACAGGTGAGTGACAGCTGCTGACCTCCCAAGTGGTAAATGTTGGCATTAGGAGAAGAGTTTTGGAATTCTCTGGAAAACTGCATGAAAGGAAGAAAACAATAGCTCCTCTTGGCCAGAAAGAGTGGATGGATTTGTTGTTTTTATAAGCTTATACAGCGTTCCTCAAGATGTGATCAGGAGAGTTGATTTAAAAAAAAGAAATCACGTTAGTAACAGGTTCTGCAATTCAAGCAACCCTGACAGAGAAAAGATGCATTCCAGTCTATCTGGCCTTGTTAGCATTCTTCTCGTTTCCCAAAAGACTTCCACCAGGATGAAGGAAAAATGATTATTCGGAAAACAGCAATGAAAATGGTACTACAGACAGTCTGAATTTCTAACTCCTTGGGTGGTTTCTGGCTAGCAACCCAAGCTATGCTGTAAAGTCTATTCTTATGATAAAAGTGACTATTAGCTTCGATGTTCCAGTATTTTTAAAGATAATTTTCCAAGCATCCTTGGTTTCCCAAAAACCCAGGGTCAAGGGTCCAGACAAGCGAGAATCCCAGTGGGAGGCTGTCTGGTTGGTGGCAGGGTGCTGTGCTCACTCAGGTTGAAGCTGTAGGTTGAAACAGAGACCCAAACTCTCCTCATACTGGTGACAAATTCCTCTCCAATTTGCCTTGTGCTTTCTTCAGTTATTCTGACAAAACGTGGTTCTATCCCCTCCACTTAAAGCATACCACACCCATTGTGAATTCCAGGCCAACTGCTTTGATTCAGAATCTCAACCAAGGGAAGAGATTACAAGATATCCAAAGGGCAACCTCCCTCTGATCTTATGGATGCGAGCAGAGGAGGAAAAAATTAAAAAGTAAAGGAATAAAAGCTCTAGGGAGCATGTGGGTTTCACTGAGGGGAAAAAAGGAAAATAAAAGTTGTCCCTTCTGGGTGGCAGAAGGACTGGAAGTGGTCAGAGCCAATGGGTCCCACAGACATTCCTGCAGCTGAGGTCAAGTCAACCTTCACAAATGACAGGCCATTTCATGACACCCTAGATCTGGCCTCCCAGATCTAGGGAGTGGCCACACTTTCCCTTTAGACACCAAGAGGAACACCGTCAGATTCCTGTTTTCCCTTGGGTGCCAGTAAGTTGAAGACATGCAGGGACTCTCAGCTGGGTCCAGGGTGACTATGCCTCTAAAATACTTCAAAACGCAGGGGGAAACCCTTTGTTTCTGAATCAAGGATTTCTTGTCTGGAGGGACTCTGAGAATTTAGAACAGGAGAAGGCTTGAGAAGTGGGAGGGGAGAAGGGCCTATTTATTTGTGTGCTCAATATTCCAAAGAACCACTAAATCACTTCCGTGTTATCCAAGGGTTAAGCTAGGAAACCACCCAGGACACTTGTTTACACGAACACGTCTGGCTCATCACCATCTTCCCCAAAGGTCTGATGACAAATCATCAGTTCTTGGAGGTGGAGGCTCTTGGTGAACTCGGCCTGAAGAGGTTAGCCAAATGCACCACGCAGAGCTGGCGCAGAGAGGTGCATTAGGGACTGAGGAGCAAATGGCCTGGCCAGGAGGGCGCCAGATGTTGGACTAGACGTTGAATTGTTTTCTCACTTCTGTGGGGCTTGACTTCTTCCCTCTACTGCCTTCCTTTGAAGCTGACTAACGAGGCAAGACTCACTTTATCCAACACAGGCATTTGGAACAAAAGCCATCATCAAAGCAAGGTAGGAAAGGCCCTCTTTCCCTGGTCACAGAACCTAGCAGTTGTTTGTTGTTGGAAAAAAGTCACCCAACATCCAGCCCCAGAGTGCCCATGAGGGCCTGGCATCGCAGTTCTCAATGGCGCTTACCCGGAGCTTTTCCTCAGTCTTGGTAGATTGCTTACAGTCGGGGTGCCAAACGGTGGAGCCTGGAAGACATGAGACACCGCTAAGTAAAGGCAGTGGACAGAAGCTCAGTGGAGAGACCTCAGTCCAGCCTCCACCCCACTGCTCTATACCAGGGGAGAGTTAAAGCCCCACCCTAGTGAAGCCTGACATCCGAAGCTCCTGCTGAACCCTCATCGAGCCTGAGCACATTCTATAAAGGTCATAATTCTTGACCACAGAAACTACTAACTGGGCACTGGAGGATTTTGATTTGAGACATTTAGTTCTTGAATGGGTGGTGGTGTCTTTTTAACCCTACCATTGTCCTTTGAAAGTAAAGTCTGTGTGCTTACCACAGGCTGCATTTAATTTTAGAAATGTAAGCATAAGCCATGTTTATAGAACATCAAAACCACCAAGCAATTTAATTAGAGAAAGTAAATCAAACCAGATCATCTCTCTCCAGAAGCAAGAGTCACTGAGCATTTCGTTGATGAAAGAAATTACACGGCCATCCACACAGATGGGAATTTGAGATTGAAAGTTATGACACAAATCTGAAAGTTCCTGTTAACTTTCAATCTTTTAATTAACTAAAAAAAGTCTTTTATTTTAAACTAGTTAAGTTTCTTTCTTTTTTTTTGGTCCTGGGTTAGTACCTTATTTTCTGAAAACATGCAGGATTTTCAAGAATGGAACCAAGATCACAGAACTAAGCAAAAAGCTTATATCCAATAGGCAGCTCTCATCTCGTAAGAAGCCAATGCCTGCCAGTAAGATCCCATGTACCCAGATGTGTGTCATTTATGATTACAGGTCAGACCTGTAGTCAGTCCTATGTTCACATGCAGGGATGCTTAAATATGAGGGTGGGCAGAAGAACTTAAAGGAGCACTTATAACTTATGGAAGTTTAGTTACAAAGCTGAAATCAGTGAGTTAATGATACAAATCTAATTAAGTCTCTGTATATGAGATATCTACATTTCATTGTTTAAATCTTTTCTCTTCAAGTAGCAAGCTGTTAAGTCTTGCAAAAGCACCAAATTAAAGTAAAATAACTTATGAACTACTTCATGCTACTGAATTAAAATGATGCTATGGAGAATATATTTTATAACAGAATAGTACCTTATTACTCTTAAACTTTCATTTCTATCTAGTTTAACCAGGGCCAAAAAAAAAAAAAAAAAAAAGAAACTGAACATTGGAGAAATAAAAACCAGGCAGACACACAGACCCTCTGAGGTCAGCTACAAGCACAGGAATTCCCCTTAATGAGGAGGGGCGAGGGGTCGGGGTGGACCCAGGAAGGCCCTGCAGAGCTGGAGACCTCGGCAACTCCAGGTCAGTACAGAGTTATGTTGTCCTCCAGAGAGCAGTGCACAAAAACGATGACTTTAACATCAGAGGCCGGGAAGATGGAAGTTGCTCTTTCTTAAAGGATGTGCTGAGACAGCCGGCAAGGGGGACCGAAGCCCAGCTCCACACGGAGCTACAACAGTGCGCGGAATTCAGAATGTGGCCCGTCTGACAGTTGTTTATATGCAGCACGAATGCGTGGTGTTTGTGCACAGCTTGACAGCCGCTCTCTGTTCAGCTTCCAGAGCCGTGTGAACGTGCAGAAGTGCACCAAAAACCTGAGCGTCCAGTCCCAGCAGATGCAGGCTGACGTGTACCGGGCCTTTGTTTTTGAGAGCTATAATTGACTTACTAAAATCTAAAACAAAGCCTGGTGTCCAAATGGAGACTAAATGTGCTGGAAATGCAGTGATGCCTGTCCACTGCTTCTGTAGGTGACTTCTTGCCCCTGGGATAAGGTGTATTATAAAGCCACAGGAGAAATACAGATTCAGGTGCCTGGCGGGTGGTCTTTCTTGCCTTGAAAATCCAGTGGTTATTTTAATCATCATTTTTCAGAGCAATCATGCTAAAGCTAAAAGGATGTTTGGGTTATCAATTTCTCATACAGCAGTATTTTGAGATGAGAGTAGCCAAGGTTTTGATTAAATATTCAAGCATCATTTCTGTAGATTTTCCTTAGTTGCATAAAAACAAAAATGAGTGCAAAGCAAACCACTGATTAAAAATACAGAAGGTTTCATGCAAAGAGAAAGAAGAAATGACAAGCCAAGGCAGCCGAGACCTAATAATTACCAAAAGGAGCAGCAAGCAATAGCTGCTACGGTTCTTGCTAATTTTACTGATCAGCCCTTGTCTGATTAATGATTCTTTTTTCCAGCTAAAAATAGCAAAATGCTTGCACAGCTGGTGCTGTTTGACTGGAAGACAATCCTCCCCAAAAGTGTCTCTGAGAAGCTTCAGAATTTTAGAGGAGATAAAAACTAACCGCAACCAAACACTGAGAAAATTTCTCCAAATCATTCTCATTAAAAAAAAAAAAAAATCTAATGACCCTGATGTGTGCTTCCTTGCCAACAGGAATGTCTCCATATCTCTTCCTGAGGCTTTGGGTGTGTTCTCCCTCATTCTCTCAATGTGAGAACTTCACCATCTTGATGAGATGAAATAAAGGTGATGAAATTTGCCAAGTATGAGACTCTTTCTTCTCAAAGCCTGGATAAAAGCAGCCCTGGAGGCCTCAATAAGAAGAAAAGAAAAGAAATTCCCCTCCCAGATAGTGGCTAAAAGAAAAAAGACAACATGGGCTTCCAGGAAGCAGCATTTCTAGAACATTCTCTATCTTTTGATCATAGTCTTCCAAGGATATTCCTGGGAGGGCTGGGAGAGGTCTGCCGCTGGTGTCCTCTTGCCTTCCATCTCCATAGCACTGGGCCCATCCGCTCATTCCAGCAGCAGCACATTCACTGGTAAACAGCCCCCACCCCGGCTCACTGCCAGCGCATCAACTGCTTGGCTGATTAATACTAAGTGGTGAGGTAACATTTGGCCACATTCATTTTGGATCTGGGTAGCAGCTAATGAAATGCCTCCTTCCCTAAAAACTATCAATCAAACCCACTCAACAAGGTTTCCTTTTTCTCAGGTGGGGAGAAATGATTGGACTCTTGAGTCCAGCTTACCTTGAAGATACATTTCCTCTCCTTCTGTGAACATCTGGTTGCATCTGCTGCATCGTGCACAGCTGGGGTGGTAATGTTTGTCACCTGCCTGCGAGAGAAGAGGCGGGAACTATTTAGTCTATTTCTTGTCACTACTCCCAGTCTCTGTTGGGGAGCTGGGAGGAAGGGAAGGAGCTGAGGCAGGAAAAATGATTGTCCAGTTGACCAAACTTTCTACACCACCAGCCCTAGAAGCTAAAGCCAACCCCAGTGGAAATGCGAGGAGCTCAAACAATTTGCAGACTTCCACCAAGGTTATTCTGCATTGTTGTTGTTCTACCCAATGTAGCAAGGCAAGAAAAAGAAGTGCACATGTCACTGAAAAAAGAACTTGTGCCTGCCTCAATGAGGCCGACTTGCTCCTTGGGGGTTCTGGCTTCCATTTCTTTCCTGCTCTGAGATTCCCTGGATGGCTGACAGTCCACACCACATGCCTGAGATGAGTCCACTCCATCTTCCAAAGAGCTCCAATTCACAAGCATTAACACCTGAATTGATAGTGGGAGCTAATATTGGTTTGTCCTAAAGCAATAAAAAAAGGGTCCCTACATCTCGAAAGCTCTGGATTTTTTAGCTAAAGAGTATGAAAATAAAATCTTCCAGCTTATAGCAAGATGAAAACCCAAGTAAAAGTCAAAACCCACTACTTTTATTTCCAAAGGAGCCCAATTTCTCTTAGGACACTCTGTGGCTGAAGTCGTAGATTTTTTCTGGAAAGCCCATCTGACTGGGGGGCTCTGCATTATTCATGGGCACGTCACATCCCTAAAGATGACAGATGCCACCACAGCAGGTGTTGACTTTCCTCAAGCAAAATGTCACCGGACACTGGAGCAATTCTCTAGACAGGTGCCAAGTCACATTAGAGTCACATATGACAAAATGAAATCCTTTCATTCATAGTTTAGCAAAAAAACCTCACCAACTGAAGATTATCAAATGTATGCTATGGTTCAACTGTCTGATCAGTCAACTGTGAACACTTTTTTTTTTTTTACACTAACCACGTGCAAGGAAGTACTGAGAGCCCAAATCAGAAGTGGCTGTAACCTGCACCTGTGTGAAATTTCACTCAGAAACTAGAGGTCAGGTACTGACTCAGTTCTCACACACTCCTGTAGAAACTACAAAAGCCACTTAGAATCCAGTATGTGTAATGGTATCGGCCACTCAAGATAATCAAGTAGAAAAAACTGAAGTCATTTAAAAGCAGAAGTCAGGACTAAAACAGTCATAGGGGTGCCTGCCAGAAAATTCACGAAGATGGGTACAGGGCCATTCATAAGAGAGGTCTATGAGTGAGGTTCACGATGCTTTCCAGACACCCGCCTGGTCCTCAGGATAAGCACTGGAGAGTGACTGCATTACATGAACTGTCATATAAAGGTGAAGGGGATACACCAAGATCCTCGTGACAAGGCTTTGCTTGGAAATCATCACTGGCAAAGTCTGTGCTAAGAAACAAGACATGATAACACCAGGGGCGTCAGTCTTGGCACAGGCACTTGTTCACCTCACCATGCTGAACATGTCAAGAAACTCAGCCCTTCAAGTCTGTTTTTATTTATTTATTTTTTTAACAGAGCAAGCCAGGGAGAGGGAGGGGGCAGGTGTTGAAGGGACCAGGGGCCCTCCTTTGCCCCGGAGGTGACCCACATTGCACGACCTCTCCTCACCCGCCTGCTGCTCCCCTCAGCAGTGTACTTCTGGATGAAACCCTTTGTTTGCAGGAACAGAGTAGTTCTCAAAATGTCTTGTAGACATAGGAGGCAGAGAAAGGGGTACAAAACCTGGAATCAAGAGATTGGGTATCATTCCTTAACATTACCCATGAGTCCTCAATTTCTTTCTGCTTACCCTCTCCAAGCCCTGGCCCCTCATCTTTAAAATGTGAAGGGCTGAACAAGACTATGTCAAGCCCAAGCTAGCTGTCAAATTCCATGTTTCTATGTGAAATCTCTTACCTCCACAATCTTGGAGAACAACTTCACCAGAAAAGCAATTTGGATAGGAATGGGGTGTAACTAGCAAGTCAACAGTGCCCCTGACCCATGAGGAATTCAGTGCCCAGACGAGGCCCCAAGTCACAGTACAGGCCACCGGGAGGAGAAAAGACTAAGTAGCTAAGCTTCACTTTGGAGCAGATAACTTGCTCAGCTTCTAGGCATTCGCTGTCCTTCCCCACTCCTCTTTCCTCTCTTGTCTAGGAGTACTCTTCTCCCAACACAAGCCCAAGGGATGTGGGATGGCCGCCGAAGCCAGCCTTTGAGCATTTATAGCTTAGGCCTGCCTACTTCCAAAGAGGACTTGCGGATGCTTATCAGAGAAGGCCATCATCTCTAAACAATTGAACAAAAACCTCAGAGGAAAAGAAAAATCAAAAGATCCCAGAACTCAGGGAAACATACTTGCTGTGATCTGAGTTTCTTAGATGAAGACAAAAGGGAAAATGGGTCATAAAAGTCTCGCTGGGAAAAAAATGGCCACATCCAAAGGTGGCCAGGCAGGGAAGGCTTCCTGGTTTTAAATTAGTAACTGTCATCGCTGAAGGGCCAGAGGGCCTGGTTCTGTGCCAGGCACTGTACCCGGACTTGCTGTGACTGGTCTCACAAGAGCCCTGTGACGCAGGTGCTAGTTTACAGCTTGGTCTGCAGGCAAAGCAACCGCAGCTCAAGGTGAACAATTTGCCTAAAGCCCTCATGCTTCCAAAAAGCAGAGCTGGGCTGAGTCCGGGTCACGTGGTCCAGGTCTACTCCACTCAACTGCCACCTAAGGGCGTGACAGGGACTCTCGTCCAGGAACCTGAGCTCTGGAATAGGAAAACCTCCCACTCACCTCACTTAGGGGTGGAAACATCCAAGCAGTGGCTTCTTATAGACCCCCTTGAGAAAAACCAAGGATGTAGCATGAAAGAGAACTGACGTCAGTTGCAAAGGGGAAATAGATGATGGAGGTTCAGGTTTGTAGTTATTCTTTTAAGTTCTAATTTGATTCAAGGATGGTCTTTACAACACCCCAAAGAATAAACAGATTGCTTTTCCGCCCTGGAGACATGCAAGCACAGTTCTGGCTGGTAGTGATTTCAAATTACAGCCATGCAAACATATAGAGGATAGTGTGTTGGTTAAGATTAGGAGTTGCCCTATTTTATGGTGTAAGAGTAAACTCAGTGGTCCTCAGGGCCCAGGAATCAGCTTTAAAAAAAAAAAAAAAAGTCGTGAAATGAGCCTATGCAGATCATCACAAATTGGGGAAACTCCAGTCTGGGTGGTGCTCAAACCCCAAATTTGATGGTAGACAAGGAAGTCAGAAGGGGTGAAGGGTCATGGGTGGGGAGTGAGAGGCAGACACATGCAAATCTCCTGTGCTGCTCCTGCAGGAAGGCGATGTGGGGTTGATTCAGCCTTCCTTGCATTCACCACTTGCCCTTGAAGTGGTAGAGCCTTCCAATGTGACTGGACTGACTTGCTCTCCCAAGCTGAGCCACCTGTTCCAGGAGGTGGTGCAGTACCCTCACGCATCGGATAAAGAGGGTGTGCCTAGCCCCAGGTTTGCATCCTGAGCAAAGGAGAACAAATCAGTCACGAAGCCCAGAGGGCTCTGAGCAAGTCTGCGCAAGGCCAGCCACAAAGACCAGGGCATCCTGCAGCCCGCATCTGCTCCAAACCCACGTCCTGGGTCAGAGGGAGGGGCTACGGATTGTCCTCCCCTGTGAAAACACTGTTGCCTTGCCACGCTCTGGGTCCCTTTGGCCAGCAGGTTAAAGTACAGAACGGAGCACTAGCTTCTTTCAGTGGGGAGTGAACACGTATACAAGTGGCAGCATCTAACTCAGCATAAATGCACACTGGCTCTTCATGGATCTTCTCTGCTTTCACATCTAAGGAATTAAGTGCGAAAACTTGTAAGCAGGCTTGTACCCTAACAGGGCTAGATAAAAGCTATTGGTAATGTGTACTTCTCAAACCAGCCTCTATTGATCAGTGCAATCTCTACCAAAATTCCAGACACACTGTAGACCACTGACAAGTTGATCTTTCACTTTTTGTGAATGCAAAGGGCCTAAAAGCGTCAAACATTTTTGAAGAAGGTCAGATAAATTCATGGACTTAAACTAACTGAGTGCAAAACTTACTGTAGTGCTACAATTAGTCAGGCCATCATGCTACTGGTATTGGAAAGGATGCAGAAGTCAGTGGAACTGAAGAAAGAGTTCCAAAATAAACCCACACATTTATGGTTATTTGGTTTTCAAGAAAGTGCCAAGGCAGTCCGATGGGACAGGGTTAGTCTCGCTGATAAATGATGACAAGACAACTGCATCACCATGTCCTGTCAAACCCCTATTTCCCACCACAAACAAAATCTAGGATCATAAACCTAAAGGCTAAAACCATAAAATTTCTGACAAAAACACAGGAGAATATCTTTGTGACCTTTGTTTAGGCAAACATTTCTTAGCTATTATTCAAAAGTATAGTCCAGAAAAGAAAAAAAGATAAACTGGATGTCATCAAGATGAACCTTTTTTTTTCTTTAAAAGGTGCCAATAAGAGGGCCCTTCCTGGTGGCACAGTGGGTTGGAGTGCTGCACTGTGAAGCTAAGCCAAGCTGTGGCTGCTTCAGTGCGAGTTCGATCCCAGCCCTAGAGGTGACCCACATGGCGCAGCAGACCTCTCCTGTCTCACCCACTGCTCCCCTCAGCAGTGCACTTCATTGATCTGTCTGTTCTGCTCCCCATTCTGTTTCTGGTGAATCTTCTCACCACCCCTGCACCTCTGGCTTGTACCCCATTTCTGTATGCATAAATAAATAAAATCTTTTAAAAAATGCATCAATAAGAAAATGGAAAACTTGCCAGAGGCTTGAAGAAATGTCTGCAAGTCATACATATCTAAAATACATAAACTATTACAACTTAACAATCAGAAGTCAAGCAACTCAATTTAATAAATGTGTAAAATATTTAAGTAGACACTTCATTAAAGGAAATAAGTACATGGCAATGTTTTAAACACCATTAGTCATTCAAACATCATTTTAGTAAGT